TCCCAAACTTTTTCACTCTGGGCCCCCCTTCCAGCATTGGGGAACATCCCACGGCGAGCACGCGCCACGTCTATTTCTATGAGCACGCGTACAGTTCATGACACAAACTGTTCACACCCCTCTTGTTGGTAGAGAGAATTTTGCAGGTTTAAAGCTTATTTCTTGCAATTCTACACATCTTGTCATGGTGCAAAGAAAATGTTGCAGTTTTAAAGCAAATGTTCTTGCAAGTCTATACATTTTTCTATGTCTAATGTGTATTCATGTGATATTTCAGTGACAAAAACATTACAACTATATAAAAAAACTTTAGTTGACATGGGCTAGTTGATCTTGTCACGGATTCAGCCGAGGCTGCTCCTCCTCCATGCTCGGGCAGGCTTCGGCGTTCGTCGTCACCGGAGTACTAGCTGCTACCGATCTATGTTTCTATGTTCTACTTGTCTTGTTTTTATTGTTCACACCTGGTTCCCATTAGGTATTGATTAGAGCGCTCGAGTGGGCCAACGCCGAGTGGGGTGGAATAGACGCAGCGTCAGTACGCTATGAGGATTTCACCGGGAGAATGTCTATTCCACCTCAGACAGGGGAGGAGGAGCGTACAGGACTTTGCACTGGACTTCAGGACTCTGGCTGCCAGTGCAGGATGGAATGAGAGGGCCCTGATTGACCACTACCGATGCAGCCTCCGGGAGGACGTTCGTCGGGAACTGGCCTGCAGGGACACCACCCTTAACCTAGACACTAACTGGTGGACATGTCGATCAGGCTGGATAACCTATTGGCAACCCACGGACGTCCGGATCAGGGGCCGTCCATTCCATCCCCCAGCACCTCCGACCCTATTCCTATGGAGCTCGGAGGTGCTGCACTGAGGGAGACCGGAAGGAGGGCCATCTCCTGCACCAACTGTGGCTGCGGAGGACACACTGCTGGTCGGTGCTGGGGAGGGTCTTTCAGGAGTCGAGGCGGTAGGCAGAGCACTGGTGGACCGTCTCAGGTGAGTAGGCACCCGACTCACCCAGAGCTCCCTGTTGCGCATATGTGTATTGATATTGTATTTCCAGAATTTTCCCCTCATTCCCAGCATAAGGCGCTCGTAGATTCAGGCGCAGCTGGGAACTTTATTGATCGTCAGTTTTCCCGTAGTTTAGGGATTCCTATTGTTCCTGTTGATGTGCCCTTCCCTGTACACGCCTTAGATAGTCGCCCTTTAGGGTAAGGCCTGATTAGGGAGGTCACAGCTCCACTCTGGATGAAAACGCAGGGGGGTCATGAGGAGAAAATGTGTCTCTATCTGATTGATTCTCCTGCATTTCCAGTGGTGTTGGGGCTTCCCTGGTTAACTTCTCATGACCCCACTATTTCATGGCAACAGAGGGCTCTCAAGGGATGGTCAAGTCAGTGCTCAGGGAGGTGTGTAGGTGTTTCCATAGGGGCAACTACGGTGGAAAGTCCAAACCAGTTCTCCACCATGCACATTCCCCCCGAATATGCCGATCTGTCTCTCGCCTTCTGTAAAAAGAAGGCGACTCAATTACCACCCCATCGACAGGGGGATTGTGCGATAAATCTCCAGGTAGGCACTGCACTTCCCCGGAGTCACGTGAATCCCCTGTCACAGGAAGAGACGGCGGCTATGGAAACATATGTCTCCGAATCTCTGAGGCAGGGATACATTCGGCCATCCACTTCACCAGTCTCCTCGAGTTTCTTTTTTGTGAAGAAGAAGGATGGAGGTTTACGCCCGTGCATTGACTACCGGGGTCTCAATCAGATCACTATCAAGTACAGTTATCCACTACCGCTCATTGCTAGTATGACGGAGTCATTGCACAGGGCAAGCTTCTTCACAAAATTGGATCTCAGGAGCGCGTACAACCTGGTGCGTATCCGGGAGGGAGATGAGTGGAAGACAGCATTCAGTACCACCTCTGGGCACTATGAGTACCTCGTCATGCCATACGGGTTGATGAATGCTCCATCAGTCTTCCAATCCTTTGTTGATGAGATTTTCAGGGTCCTGCATGGACAGGGTGTAGTGGTGTTTATTGATGACGTTCTCATATACTCCGCTACACAGGCCGAGCATGTGTCCCTGGTGCGTCAAGTGCTTGGTCGACTGTTGGAGCATGACCTGTATGTGAAGGCGGAGAAATGTCTGTTCTTCCAAGAGTCCATCTCCTTCCTAGGGCACCACCTGTCCGCGTCAGGGGTGGAGATGGAGATTGACCGCATTTCGGCCGTGCGTAATTGGCCGACTCCAACCATGGTGAAGGAGGTGCAGCGATTTTGGGGTTTTGCCAACTACTACCGGAGGTTTATCCGGGGCTTTGGTCAGGTAGCGGCTCCCATTACCTCCTTGCTGAAGGGGGGACCGGTGCGACTGCAGTGGTCAGCTGAGGCGGACAGGGCTTTTGGTCACCTGAAGGACCTGTTTACCTCGGCTCCAGTGCTGGCTCATCCGGATCCCTCCTTAGCATTCCAGGTTGAGGTGGAAGCGTCCAAGGCTGGGATAGGAGCTGTACTGTCTCAGCGCTCGGGTACGCCACCAAAGCTCCGCCCCTGTGCTTTATTTTCTAACAAGCTCAGTCCGGCGGAGCGCAATTATGATGTGGGGGACCGGGAGCTGTTAGCTGTGGTTAAGGCCCTGAAAGTGTGGAGGCATTGGCTTGAGGGGCTAAACACCCTTTCCTCATTTTGACTGACCATCGCAATCTGGAGTACATCCGGGCAGCGAGGAGATTGAACCCTCGCCAGGCAAGGTGGGCCATGTTCTTTACTCGTTTTGTGTTTATTTACAGACCAGGTTCCCAGAACGCTAAGGCAGACGCCCTGTCCCGACTGTATGACACAGAGGAGAGGTCCATTGAGCCCACTCCCATACTTCCGGCGTCGTGTCTGGTGCCACCGGTGGTGTGGGAGGTTGATGTGGACATCGAGCGGGCGTTACGTACGGAGCCCACTCCCCCCAGTGTCCAGAGGGTCGTATGTACGTGCCGCTCGAGGTTCGCGATCGATTGATCTATTGGGCTCACACGTCACCCTCCTCTGGTCATCCTGGCATTGGTCGGACAGTGCACTGTCTTAGTGGGAAGTACTGGTGGCCCACTTTAGCCAAGGACGGGAGGGTTTACGTTTCCTCCTGCTCGGTGCGCGCCCAGTGTAAGGCACCTAGACACCTGCCCAGAGGGAAACTACAACCCCTACCTGTTCCACAACGGCCGTGGTCCCATCTTTCGGTGGATTTTGTTACAGACCTGGATCGTTGTGGATCGGTTTTCTAAGTCTAGCCGCCTCATTCCTATGCCAGGTCTCCCCACGGCCCTACAAACTGCTGAGGCCCTATTTACACACGTCTTCCGGCACTACGGGGTGCCTGAGGATATTGTATCAGATCGGGGTCCCCCATGTACGCCTGCAGCGGGCCATCAGGCGACAAAAGGCGAGCGCCGACCGCCACCGCAGTGAGGCCCCGGTGTATGCACCGGGGGACCGGGTCTGGCTCTCGACCCGAAACCTGCCCCTTTGCCTGCCCTGCCGGAAGCTGGGTTGGTGGTTTGTGGGGCCATTTAAAGTCCTGAGGAGATTGAACGAGGTCTGTTATAGGTTACAGCTTCCTCTGAATTACCATATTAACCCCTCGTTCCATGTGTCTCTCCTCAGGCCGGTGGTAGCTGGTCCACTCCAGGAGTCTGAGGTACGGGAGGTTCCTCCGCCCCCACTGGACATCGAGGGGGCACCGGCATACTCGGTCCGTTCCATCTTGGATTTGAGGCGTCGGGTGGGGGGCCTGCAGTATCTCGTGGAGTGGGAGGGGTACGGTCTGGAGGAACGGTGCTGTGTCCCTAGGAGGGACATCCTCGATCCCTCCATGTTGAGGGATTTCCACCGTCGTCATCCGACTCGCCCAGCGCCGCGTCCTCCTGGCCGTCCCCGAGGCCGGTGTCGGCGCACGGCTGGAGCCGTGCGTCAAGGGGGGGGTACTGTCACGGATTCAGCCGAGGCTGCTCCTCCTCCTTGCTCGGGCAGGCTTCGGCGTTTGTCGTCACCGGAGTACTAGCTGCTACCGATCTATGTTTCTATGTTCTACTTGTCTTGTCTTTATTGTTCACACCTGGTTCCCATTAGGTATTGATTACTTCCCTATTTAACCCTCTGGCTCCCACTGTATGTTGTGCGTGTTTGTTCATGTTTGGTTGTCGTCTGGTGAGCGGGTTTGTTCCTCCCTGCGTGGAGGTTATGTTCTTTCCGTTACCTACGAGTAAAGTACGTTTTCGATTAGCTCTGTGTCCTGTGCCTGACTTCGTCCTACCGCATCACACTGACATCCTGACAGATCTGGACATTTCCGACAAGTTTTAAATGGCTCTCTAAGGTATGCAATGGCTAACATGACAAGAGGAACTGTGGGGGGAACCACTGTTGTAGACATCCAGACCTGTTTAGGAGCATTGTATCAGCTGTGAAAAGAAGCCTTGCAGATTTGTCTACCTTTTAATGTTTCCCTTTTCTGTCTGGCGTGCCAGAAGAGCATGGACTGGTTTCTTCCTTCCGAGAAAGTTTTTCCTTGCCACCGTCACACCTTGGCTAGGCCATTGTTGTTGATTCTCATGTTTGTCAACCTGCTCATATTTTTTGCCCCACAGATTCTGTAGAGGATGGCGAGAAACGGATCTAGACTGCCCTGGATGCTTTTGGGAGTATAGGTGTGTATTCAGACACCAGATTTCCATGTTTAAAACCAATAACTATGCAAATTTAACATTTAATTCATTCAGTCCATTGACATACAGATACTATGGCTGATGGTGTTAAGTCAATCATGATCATATGTTCACTCTCAGGCTTGATTGAGCACATAATTACATGTTGATGTGCAAATAGTTTGTTTTGCTATCTTACAGTACATTTTTTGGTGATAATAACAACTGTCTGAAGAATTTTGAGATCATCTAAACAGACCTGTTGATTATCTTTTCCAGATATCGTTGTAAGTAATGCTGGGTAAGTATGCTATGATACTGTATGAACACTTTTTGATAAATAAACTAAACGGTAGTATTTCAGATGGACATGTGACATGGATAACTATTCCATTTACTCAATGTATATAATCTCCATAATATTTTTATTTTATTGATTTCAAGGATACTTCGGTATCGCTCCTTTGGACAAGTGATTTGGATTGGGGTAAGAGGGAGTTTATTTCTTAGAGTACAACCATAGATTCATTCTGTGTCCAATCGTCATGATCCGTTTGGAAATAGGATGGAGATAATTGCAGATTATATGGAGTGAATAGTGAATGTTTATCAGGCTGGAGAAGAGCTATAATTCAAATGACAAATATAGTCGAGGTCTGAGTAGTAATGAGATTGACCAGAGCCTGTGTTTAGGTCTCCCCTGTCCATATTATCTTATTCATTAGGATCGGAAAGGCAAACGTGATCCTAGATCAGAATAACCTCCAAATAGTGATTGTAATGCAACATTCGTTCCCTGTATTTCAGACCTCATCCATAGTGTTCACCTGAGAGGCTCCTTCATGGTCACTAGAGCTGCCTGGAACCACATGAAGAACCAGAAGTTTGGGAGGTAATGTACAGTAAAGGTCAAGGGTCAGACCCAGCACCATGGTGTCTATGTAAAAGAAAGTAGAGCAGACTCCTCTGCTGAATTCCAAATCGCCCCCTACTCGATAGGCATAAGCAACATGGTAATTGCTTAATCTTACCTTCTGATAGCTTGGTTTGAATTCTCACCATATTGCTGTCACCTATTCAAACAGGTGCCTATGGGTTGATTAGCGATTCAGAAAGCAATTAGGCAAGGACAGGTGCAGAGTACAGTCGTGGTCAAAAGTTTTGAGAATGACAAAAGTATTGGTCTTTAATAAGTTCGCTGCTTCAGTGTTATGAGATATTTTTGTCAGATGTTACTATGGTATACTGAAGTATAATTACAAGCATTCCATAAGTGTCAAAGGCTTTTATTGACAATTACATTAAGTTTATGCAAAGAGTCAATATTTGCAGTGTTGACCCTTCTTTTTCAAGACCTCTGCAATCCGCCCTGGCATGCTGTCAATTAACTTCTGGGCCACATCCTGACTGATGGCAGCCCATTCTTGCATAATCAATGCTTGGAGTTTGTGGGTTTTTGTTTGTCCACCCGCCTCTTGAGGATCGACCACAAGTTCTCAATGGGATTAAGGTCTGGGGAGTTTCCTGGCCATGGACCCAAAATGTCGATGTTTTGTTCCCCGAGCCACTTAGTTATCACTTTTGCCTTATGGCAAGGTGCTCCATCATGCTGGAAAAGGCATTGGTCGTCACCAAACTGTTCTTGGATGGTTGGGAAAAGTTGCTCTCGAAGGATGTGTTGGTACCATTCTTTATTCATGGCTGTGTTCTTAGGCAAAATTGTGAGTGAGCCCACTCCCTTGGCTGAGAAGCAACCCCACACATGAATGGTCTCAGGATGCTTTACTGTTGGCATGACACAGGACTGATGGTAGCGCTCACCTTGTCTTCTCCGGACAAGGTGTTTTCCGGATGCCCCAAACAATCGGAAAGGGGATTAATCAGAGAAAATGACTTTACCCCAGTCCTCAGCAGTCCAATCCCTGTACCTTTTTCAGAATATCAGTCTGTCCCTGATGTTTTGCCTGGAGAGAAGTGGCTTCTTTGCTGCCCTTCTTGACACCAGGCCACCCGGCAAAAGTCTTCGCCTCACTGTGCGTGCAGATGCACTCACACCTGCCTGATGCCATTCCTGAGCAAGCTCTGCACTGGTGGTGCCCCGAGACGGCGCTTGCTGGACTTTCTTGGGCGCCCTGACGCCTTCTTCACAACAATTGAACCTCTCTCCTTGAAGTTCTTGATGATCCGATAAATGGATGATTTAGGTGCAATCTTACTAGCAGCAATATCCTTGCCTGTGAAGCCCTTTTTGTGCAAAGCAATGATGATGGCACGTGTTTCCTTGCAGGTAACCATGGTCAATAGAGGAAGAACAATGATTTCAAGCACCACCCTCCTTTTAAAGCTTCCAGTCTGTTATTCTAACTCAATCAGCATGACAGAGTGATCTCCAGCCTTGTCCTCGCAACACTCTCACCTGTGTTAACGAGAGGATCACTGACATGATGACAGCTGGTCCTTTTGTGGCAGGGCTGAAATGCAGTGGAAATGTTTTTTGGGGATTAAGTTAATTTTCTTTGCAATTTAATTGCAATTCATCTGATCACTCTTCATAACATTCTGGAGTATATGCAAATTGCCATCATCAAAACTGAGGCAGCAGACTTTGTGAAAATTAGTATTTGTGTCATTCTCAAAACTTTTGACCACGACTGTATAGAGCAGGGCTAGGCAACCCTTGTCCTGGAGTGCCGCAGGCACTTACTGTTTATGATTTAACCGACCTGGAAGACCAGGTGTGTTGAATTTAGGCAATCACTGAACTGATCAATTAGCTCAGTTGGTCAGGGCGGCGTTCAGTACATAAAAACGCAATAGAACGTTCAATTGAACGGAAACGGTGTTGTACTGAACGACCAGTTGAAAAACGGGGAGGGGTTGGGTTGTGGGTTCAAAATGCACTGCTGCCCTTTAAATATGTCACTCATTGCTTCAAGCCACACCCCGGCACACCCACCGAACAGCGCAAATGTATCTCAGTGTGTTCAAAAACATACAAGAACGTTTTGGGAAAACGTGTCGTTCAGTACAAACCGTTCCGTAAAGTAGCAATTGTTCAAGCAAACTGAACGCACCCCTAGTGTGGTACCTGCGGTACTCCAGAAATAAGGTTGCCTATAGAGCATGGATTTGTACATCTGTTGCAGGTTTTAGCACAGGTGGGCCCTTCCTTTAAGGATTCATATAGCAAAATCCATCCTTATGTTCCCCTTTGATTTGCAGCAATGGAACCAAGAATGAGTGACAAAATCACCCTAAAAATGTCCTTCAAATGTTTTGTTTGTGGTCGTTGTTGGCTGTTGGCAGGCAGTGAAGCGGTCTGATTTCTTTACAGTTGCTGTGTCATATTGGGTTTTCTTGTTATTGCTGCGCGACTGCACCAGCCATGGCACATTGATTCAACACTGTCGCACTGAATTAAACTGACGTTTCACGGTGCCCTGTCTGTGCCCAGGATCATCATGACATCATCGGCTGCTGGCATCTATGGCAATTTTGGGCAGGCGAACTACAGCACGGCTAAGCTGGGACTGGCCAACACCCTGGCCATCGAGGGTCAAAAGTACAATATCCACTGCAACACCATCGCCCCGAATGCGGGCTCACGCCTCACAGAGACTGTTATGCCCCCAGGTCAGTGGAGTCGCTGAGAAACGGCTCTAAACAGGCTGAGCAGCACACATTACTGTGTCATCTTATTAAGGCTCAATGATTTGAGTTGATCTGTTGCATAATGGTGCAATATTACATGTAATATTGTCATGTGTTACATTTAATATCGACATGTAAATGTGATACTTGAAGTCACCTGCTATTGTCAAACAAATGCACACACAAACTGAGTAAACAGAGATTAATCAATCATACGCTCTGAAAAATGACCTTGTTGATTTGTGGATTGGGCATTTACTGAGGCGTCGTAGATTGCTTTTGATGCCTCTGCTTGGCAGACTGGCATCTGTGATTTTCTTCTCTGGCATCTGCCACATGACGACCTTTTATACCCAGTATGAAAGTCGAGTGTGATATTGTCCCATATGTCAGTAACCTTGATTTCCCTAGGGTTTAAGAGACAGATTCAATAAAACAATGTTTGATATCAAAGCAAAGGGCTGGTTTATCATCATGATTTTTATACTCTTCCATGTCATAATTATTAGCAATTAACTACTAAACTTTTTCTGTCGTAGATCTCTTGGAGTCCTTGAAAGCCGAATACGTTTCCCTCTTGTTCTATGGCTTTCTCATGAGCAGTGTCAAGAAAATGGAGGCCTGTTTGAGGTTTGTAAGAGAAATGTATCACATGTTCACTACGCCTTTTAAACAGTATCGTCTTACTCTGAATGTTTACTGATTTAAATATTTTCATGTTCTCTCCCTGTTCAGGTTGGGGCTGGCTGGATTAGAAAATGTAAGTAGAATTTATTATTCTCATTTGGGAGTATTTGCACCGTTCTACGATATTCGATTTCCACAAATGTGTGTGTGTGTGTGTTGCGATGGGAGCGTTCGCAGGGCCGCATCCTGAGGCACAAGAACCAGGGCATGTCTCCTAAGGCAGTGCGAGACCAGTGGGACAACGTCTGTGACTTCACCAATGCCACCAAACCTGCCAACATCAATGGTAACAAAGTCATGCAGCCCTACGCTGGCATATTTTGCCAGATATGTTACTGATAATCGCCATTGACTAATACACAGATATTTTGAATTCAAACCAACAGACGTTTTTTCAAACAATAGTGCAAAATGCAGAAAATGAATAGGTAGATTTAAATCAAACATCTGAATAATATTCCACCTGCAGTGAATGCCAGAACTCTTTTGATGTTGTAACCATTGAGGCACTGTACTGAAACGGATTTCATGGGAGAAAGTCCAAGTCCTAAACAGTATGCTGAAGTGTAAACAAAGATAGAGGAGCATCAGGGCACAAACCTATGAGAGAAAAGAGAAAACAAGCTAGCTTTCCAGTGAACAAACACATTGGCTTGTGCTGCTATGACACGGAATGTAAATTCCTCCACCACCAGTTTCCCCCGCTCTTGAACAAAGAGAAAAGTACAGTATCTAGCGGTGCGCCTTAGGGGTCAGGCAGAGACGAGAACATGGCAAGTGTTCATCAATATTCTCTCCTCCCTCCCTCGGCTTGCCCTTGGATGTGCAGCAGCAGCATGGGGGTGGCAGTCTCCGGAGGAACGCCTCATTACCATTTAAAAAATATATATTTAACCAGGTAAGCCAGTTGAGAACAAGTTCTCATTTACAACTGCGACCTGGCCAAGATAAAGCAAAGCAGTGCGATAAAAACAACAACACAGAGTTACATATGGAATAAACAAAAACAGAGAGTCAATAACACAATAGAAAATAGAAAATCTATATACAGTGTGTGCAAATGTAGTAAGTTATGGAGGTAAGGCAATAAATAGGCCATAGTGCAAAATAATTACAATTTAGTATTAACACTGGAGTGATATATGTGCAGAAGATGATGTGCAAATAGAGATACTGGGGTGCAAATGAGCAAATAAATAACAATGTAAATAACAATATGGGGATGAGGTAGTTGGGTGGGCTAATTACAGATGGGCTGTGTACAGGTACAGTGGTCGGTAAGCTGCTCTGACAACTGATGCTTAAAGTTAATGAGGGAGATAAGTGTCTCCAGCTTCAGATATTTTTGTAGTTCGTTCCAGTCATTTGCAGCAGAGAACTAGAAGGAATGGCGGCCAAAGTAGGTGTTGGCTTTGGGGATGACCAGTGAGATATACCTGCTGGAGCGCATACTACGGGTGGGTGTTGCTATGGTGACCAATGAGCTAATATAAGGCGGGGATTTGCCTAGAAGTGATTTATAGATGACCTGGAGCCAGTGGGTTTGGCGACAAATATGTAGTGAGGGCCAGCCAACGAGAGCGTACAGGTCACAATAGCGGGTAGTATATGGGGCATTGGTGACAAAACGAATGGCACTGTAATAGACTACATCCAATTTGCTGAGTTGAGTGTTGGAAGCTATTTTGTAAATGACATCGCCGAAGTCAAGGATCGGTAGGATAGTCAGTTTTACGAGGGCATGTTTAGCAGCATGAGTGAAGGAGGCTTTGTTGCGAAACAGGAAGCCGATTCTAGATTTAACTTTGGATTGGAGATGCTTCATGTGAGTCTGGAAGGAGAGTTTATGGTCTAACCAGACATCTAGGTATTTGTTGTTGTCCACATATTCTAAGTCAGACCCGCCGAGAGTAGTGATTCTAGTCGGGCGGGCGGGTGCAAGCAGCATTCGATTGAAGAGCATGCATTTAGTTTTACTAGGGTTTAAGAGCAGTTGGAGGCCACAGAAGGAGGCCAGATGTATACAAAATGGTGTCGTCTGCATCTGAGAGTCACCAGCAGCAAGAGCAACATCATTGATATACACAGAGAATAGAGTTGGCCCGAGAATTTAACCCTGTGGCACCCCCATAGAGACTGCCAGAGGTCCAGACAACAGGCCCTCCGATTTGACACATTGAACTCTATCTGAAAAGTAGTTGGTGAACCAGGCGAGGCAGTCAGTTGAGAAACCAAGGCTATTTAGTCTGCCAATAAGAATGCAGTGATTGTCAGAGTCAAAAGCCTTGGCCAGGTCGATGAAGACGGCTGCACAGTACTGTCTTTTATCAATCGCGGTTATTATATTGTTTAGGACCTTGAGCATGGCTGAGGTGCACCCATGACCAGCTCAGAAACCAGATTGCATAGCGGAGAAGGTACGGTGGGATTCGAAGTGGTCGGTGATCTGTTTGTTAACTTGGCCTTCAAATACTTTTGAATGGCAGGGTAGGATGGATATAGGTCTGTAACAGTTTGGATCTAGAGTGTCACCCCCTTTGAAGAGGGGGATGACCGCGGCAGCTTTCCAATCTCTGGGGATCTCAGACGATACGAAAGAGAGGTTGAACAGGCTAGTAATAGGGGTTGTGACAATTTCGGCTGCTAATTTTAGAAAGAAAGGGTCCAGATTGTCTAGCCCAGCTGATGTGTAGGGGTCCAGATTTTGCAGCTCTTTCAGGACATCAGCTATCTGAATTTGGGTGAAGGAGAAGCGGGAGGGGGGGGGGGGGGGGGGGGCATGGGCAAGTTGCAGTTGAGGGTGCAGAGCTGGTGGCCGGGGTAGGGGTAGCCAGGTGGAAAGCATGGCTAGCCGTAGCAAAATGCTTATTGAAATTATCGTAGATTTATCGGTGGTGACAGTGTTTCCTAGCCTCAGTGCAGTGGGTAGCTGGGAGGAGGTGCTTTTATTCTCCATGGACTTTACAGTGTCCCAAAACCTTTTGGAGTTAGTGCTACAGGATGCACATTTCTGTTTGAAAAAGCTAGCCTTTGCTTTCCTAACTGATTGTGTATATTGGTTCCTGACTTCCCTGAAAAGTTGCATATCGTGGGGGCTGTTCGATGCTAATGCGGTACGCCACAGGATGTTTTTGTGCTGGTCAAGGGCAGTCAAGTCTGGGGTGAACCAGGGGCTATATCTGTTCTTAGTTCTGAATTTTTTGAATGGGACATGCTTATTTAAGATGGAGAGGAAAGCACTTTTGAAGAACATCCAGGCATCCTCTACTGACGGAATGAGGTCAATATCCATCCAGGATACCCGGGCCAGGTCAATTAGAAAGGCCTGCTCGCTGAAGTGTTTTAGGGAGCGTTTGACAGTGATGAGGTGTGGTCGTTTGACCGTTGACCCATTACGGACGCAGGCAATGAGGCAGTGATTGCTGAGATCCTGGTTGAAGACAGCGGAGGTGTATTTAGAGGGTAAATTAGTCAGGATGATATCTATGAGGGTGCCCATGTTTACGGATTTAGGGTTGTACCTGGTAGGTTCCTTGATAATTTGTGTGAGATTGAGGGCATCTAGTTTAGATTGTAGGACGGCCGGGGTGTTAAGCATATCCCAGTTTAGGTCACCAAGCAGTACAAACTCTGAGGATAGATGGGGGGCAAGCAATTCACATATGGTGTCCAGGGCAGAACTGGGGGCTGAGGGGTGTCTGTAGCAAGCGGCAACAGTGAGAGACTTATTTCTGGAAAGGTGGATTTTTAGAAGTAGAAGCTCCAACTGTTTGGGCACAGACTTGGATAGTATGATAGAGCTCTGCAGGCCATCTCTCATGACTTTGTAGTGCTCCTTATTTGTGCCTTTTTACAGTGAGGGGAAAAAAGTATTTTATCCCCTGCTGATTTTGTACGTTTGCCCACTGACAAAGAAATTATCAGTCTATAATTTTAATGGTAGGTTTATTTGAACAGTGAGAGACAGAATAACAACATGTCAAAAATGTTATAAATTGATTTGCAGTTTAATGAGGGAAATAAGTATTTGACCCCTTCTCAATCAGAAAGATTTCTGGCTCTCAGGTGTCTTTTATACAGGTAACGAGCTGAGATTAGGAGCACACTCTTAAAGGGAGTGCTCCTAATCTCAGCTTGTTACCTGTATAAAAGACACCTGTCCACAGAAGCAATCAATCAATCAGATTCCAAACTCTCCACCATGGCCAAGACCAAAGAGCTCTCCAAGGATGTCAGGGACAAGATTGTAGACCTACACAAGGCTGGAATGGGCTACAAGACCATCACCAAGCAGCTTGTTGAGAAGGTGACAACAGTTGGTGCGATTATTTGCAAATGGAAGAAACACAAAAGAACTGTCACTCCCTCGGCCTGGGGCTCCATGCAAGATCTCACCTAGTGGAGTTGCAATGATCATGAGAACGGTGAGGAATCAGCCCAGAACTACACGGGAGGATCTTGTCAATGATCTCAAGGCAGCTGGGACCATAGTCACCAAGAAAACAATTTGCAACGCACTACGCCGTGAAGGACTGAAATCCTGCAGCGCCCGCAAGGTCCCCCTGCTCAAGAAAGCACATATACAGGGCCGTCTGAAGTTTGCCAATGAACATCTGAATGATTCAGAGGAGAACTGGGTGAAAGTGTTGTGGTCAGATGAGACCAAAATTGAGCTCTTTGGCATCAACTCAACTCGCCGTGTTTGGAGGAGGAAGAATGCTGCCTATGACCCCAAGAACACCATCCCCACCGTCAAACATGGAGGCGGAAACATTATGCTTTGGGGGTGTTTTTCTGCTAAGGGGACAGGACAACTTCACTGCATCAAAGGGACGATGGACGGGGCCATGTACTGTCAAATCTTGGGTGAGAACCTCCTTCCCTCTGCCAGGGCATTGAAAATGGGTTGTGGATGGGTATTCCAGCCTGACAATGACCCGAAACACACGGCCAAGGCAACAAAGGAGTGGCTCAAGAAGAAGCACATTAAGTTCCTGGGGTGACCTAGCCACTCTACAGACCTTAATCCCATAGAAAATCTGTGGAGGGAGCTGAAGGTTCGAGTTGCCAAAGGTCAGGCTCGAAACCTTAATGACTTGGAGAAGATCTGCAAAGAGAAGTGGGACAAATCCCTCCTGAGATGTGTGCAAACCTGGTGGCCAACTACAAGAAACGTCTGACCTCTGTGATTGCCAAGAAGGGTTTTTTGCCACCAAGTACTAAGTCATGTTTTGCAGAGGGGTCAAATACTTATTTCCCTCATTAAAATGCAAATCAATTTATAACATTTTTTACATGTATTTTTCTGGATTTTTTTGTTGTTATTCTGTCTCTCACTGTTCAAATAAACCTACCATTAAAATTATAGACTGATCATTTCTTTGTCAGTGGGCAAACGTACAAAATCAGCAGGGGATCAAATACTTTTTTCCCTCACTGTATAAGAGGACCTTGTTCTATAACATCCTTATTGAGTGACTGTAATTAGTCTCCTCTCTTCCCTGTTAAGAGTCTGGCCACGTTGGTGGAGGTGCTGTCAAGAGTGGAGACTGATGAGGTAATCGTCCCTAACCCCACCAGCGCTATTGCCGCCACTGCTGCATCCGGGATCAGTCCTTTGAGTGGAGAGGTCAACCGTACTGGGCTGGAATTAAGTGACATCGTGCCTGTTGGTGACAGATGGCCCCATAATCTGTGGTCTCCTACTGTGGACCAATGTCTTCAAAGACATATGTTTGCCTGTTTGGAGTGTCTTTGTGAAGCCAAGTCAAACTATCCCTGGCTGATGTCAGTCAGTGTGTCCTCAGCTGGCCTACAGGACCTGGTTCTGTCTAAAGGCAATGATGAGTAACATACTGTGCTGATTATAGCTGTGCTTCCCCTTCAGATGGAGGCGGTGGGACAGAAGCTTCCGGAGTTATTATTCAGCTACTCCCACGCTCAGTGCATCCTGTATGCCCTGGGAGTGGGCCTGTCCACCAAGGATGACAACCACCTCAAGTTCCTGTATGAGGGCCATGAGGACTTCAGCTGTCTGCCTACCTTCGGTGTCATCCCCTCCCAGGCGGCCATGATGGACGGAGGGCTGGGCTCTGTGCCTGGACTCACCAGGGTCAAAGCTCCAGGAAACACTCATGCAACACAGTATTGGCAATCTATTGGTTTAACACATTTAATAGCATTTATAGTGTTGCTGTTCGCACACAGTTCATTCAGTGGGTACATCATGCATTTTGATAGCTTAAAATGTTCTATTACTTGAAACGGAATGGGAAATACTAACTGAAACCGCTATTGTAAATATCTATTAACTCACCTTTGTTCGTTCTGATATTGTCACTCTCTCGCAGGTGTTGCATGGAGAGCAGTATCTGGAGCTTTTCAAACCATTACCCACCTCGGGTATGTGCACCCATTACAGATTCTAAGTATCTCTGAGCACAACATCATTTTCTGCTGACAAAAGCCTGTGATTTGAAATAGTTTTGTCTGCATTTGCAGGAAAACTGACCTCAGGCCACAATCGCAGACGTGTTAGACAAAGGATCTGGAGCAGTCATTCTCCTGGATGGTTAGTTGTTTTACTCTTCCCTTTCCCTGATAATTAAAGTGAAACAATTGTGTTGAGCTTTTGTTGAGGTATATTATGAGAATTACAATTTTTGGTTGATGTTTCATTAGATGAGCAGAGAAATGACTCTGTGGTATTAATTAAACAAATAGCGGAGGAACTTAAGAATTAGAAATACACCTGATATTGAATCGAGGTAATTAAACACATGCAGTCTAAAGATTCTTTCAGAAAAAGCTGAAATAATATTTTCATAGCTAATGTCTTTCTCCACAGTCCACACGTACAGTGGGAAAGAGTTGGTGTGCTACAAACAGTACTCGCTGTTCATCATGGCTTTGGAGGAAAAATAACATCTGATAAAGCAATGGTAACTCTTCTGTGACATTTCAGAAGTACCATTATTTATCTAGAACAAAATGGTTGACACCTACCATCTTCTTTAAACCTAATGTCTCTTTCAGCGCAGTGGCACCTCCAAACAGAGCCCCTGATGCTGTTATGACCGACACCACAACAAGGAACCAGGTGTGTATTTATTTATATATGTTTGGGTCTTCTATCTAAGGTATACACTGAGAAGATGAAGTACTATTAGAACCCCGGCCAAATGTTATGATATTTCAAAAGATGAAGCATCAAACAAGTGGCCATATTGGCTAGATATGGGCCCTAAATCTCATCAGTATCATCACTGTAGTATATTTCTAAACGTAGGATATTTCTAAACCGAGTGACATGACATTGAATACATGCTTTCAGGCTGCCTTGTATCATCTGAGTGGGGACTGGAACCCCCTCCACATAGACCCCAGCTTTGCTGCAATGGGAGGTGAGACTTCTAGCCTGGTTTCAGATCTGTTCCAGATCAAGAAGTTGACATGATAGCAGAATCAGATCTGGGACCATTCTATGTGTCTTTATATATCCAAGTCATAAAACACCGCACAGTGTTGTGCATGATATTGTATTTTCATCATAAAGGATTCAAATCCCCTATTCTGCATGGCCTTTGCTCCTTTGGGTTCGCGGCTAGACAAGTGCTGAAACAGTATGCCAAGAATGATGCCTCCAGATTCAAGTCCATCAAGGTGAAGAAGCATGATTTTGGCAGTAACAGTTCCCTATATCTTTTTAGTAAAATAGAGTTAAACAGGTCTACTATCTTAAAGGACCACCCCAGAGGAAGTTGCCGCCACTATTTTGATGTAATTTCCTGTCCTAGAGAGGAAATGCACATTTAAGTTCCACCTCCAAAGAATGAAGAACCCTACTTATACATATTCACGAATTGGGTGTGAGAATATTCAACGTGGAGTTAGTAAACATCAACAAATAGAGCACTGACAGATGTCAGTGTAGCTAGCTAGCATGCTAACCTTATCTAGCTAGCATGCTAAACTTATCTAGCTAGCTTATGTTATCTGTTGTTTTTTAAAATTCAAAATAATAATAAAAAGATTAGCCGGCTGGTTCTGCAGCTGGATTTTTCATAAGCATTGATTTAGGGAAAACTTTTCCACAGATGGAAACCACTGGCCTATCTTTGACTTTGCCATCTATCGTTAATTGCAGACGCAAATCTACAATATAAATAGTTCGAAAGAATAAGATGAAGCTCCGGTAATATGGATAACTATTGAAAGATGGCTGATATGCGGTTTTCTACATTTTAATAGACACGGTGCAACCTTTTGTATGTAGGCTGCTGATAGGCTTCAGGTCCGGTACAGCAAAGCCAAGTCAGCCTGTGCTCATGGTTCTCACAGGGGAAGTGAAATGATAGGCTACAATGACTTTTTTCATGATCATGCACGCCATAAATTGCATGTAACTAACTATAAGTTCCTTTAATTTTATTTTGCAGATGCCTTTTCATTATCTGGATAGACACTTGTGGTTTCTTGCTAACGTTACACCAATCAAAGCAGTGTGTAGTGAAGCAAAACTTTAGAGGTCAAAACCATTAATCTTGGGGCGACAGGGGGAGCGGGTTTGCAAAATTCTATCACGCAATTATACCACATATATATATTTTGTACAGACTAGCTCAAAAATACGTGAAAATGTACAAATTATCCAATGGATTTTCGAGTACATTTTCTGGTTTTAATTTGCTCCATGACTCAGATAGCCAAGTGGACACAAGGCGGTTTGGCTAATTTAATTTGCGAAGAGCAATAACTTTGCAGCTGTTTCTGATTGTAATAAACAATGCCATGGGTGGTAACATTCAAATAAACCCCAGAAACTAAACGTAGGCTGAAAATAATGATTTGTATGTCATAGGAAATGACACTGCATTCACACGGATTTGCACAAAATGGGCAGTTTGGATTCGTCACTTCAAGACCAAATATATCATACTTTTGACTAAAACAATGACTTATTGACTTAAATCACTGTGCAACATCATGGGTAAGCTCTGGCCATTGTCTTTCACCTCAAAAAAGTGGATTTCTACTGGTGTGGGCGTTTTAATTTGATGACTCTGTCGCAGAGAATTTTCCAGGGCAGCAGGAAATGCAAATTGTGGTGGATTTGAGGTTTTAAAAGGCTTCTAAAGTTTGTACTTTCCACGTCAGACTTGATTTATCCTAAGTAAAAATGTATCTTCAGAGTGAGGTAGTGTTTGCTGAGATCGGCCGTCGCATTAAAGACCTGGGGGCTGAGATGGTGAAAGTCGATGATGGAGCTGGTGTCATAAGGGCCCATACAGTGGCAAAACAGACGTGACCATTACTGTATCCGATGAGGACTTCATGGAGGTAGTGCAGGGGAAGCTCAACCCACAGAAGGTACTGACATCTTCTTCCCAAGATAGAATGTAGTTACAAAGCCTTTTCATGCCTGGCAACATCCATAAACACACTTTAGAAAGTTGCAAGACAAGAGTCGGCAGAGAACTGCCAATGTGTAGCTTCACACTTAAAAGCTTTTTAAACAAGTACATCCTGATAAGAGTGGGTTGGCAGGAATGAGCTACATTTAGCCTTCCATTGCTTTGTGAATTTAGATCCAGGAAGTCCTGGATTTAAGAGCACCTTAGCTCATGAACATATTAGCTTGTAAGAGCTTAGAGATTTTTTTTCATACATAATACCTGAGACGTTAGTTTTTCCAGGCGTTCTTTGCAGGCAAGATGAAAGTGCGAGGGAACATCATGCTGAGCCAGAAGCTGGAGGTGATCCTCAAAGACTATGCTAAACTGTGAGGGCGAGCTGACTCAGAGGAGAACCATATCGTCCTCACTTCACTGAGGAAGAAGCATTAATTTCAGTAATCTGACCTGGATTTCACTCCATCATATGCAGTGAAATGTGTCCTATGGATTTTTTGGCAAAGTGATTGTTATCCGATCATGATACAGAATGATTTTAAGTGACTTTGTGACAGTGATAAATGTGTAGCTGCAATGTTTACTAACCATCAAAGCTGTTAAGATGGTCAATTATAAGAGGATAGCACCTATGTGCAATGGGGACGCCTGTTTTCAGGGCAATGAAGAACATAGCTAGGTAGCACAGCAGACAGGTCCTGTATCTTTCCACTAAAATGATTTGATAGGTTGTACCAGAAATGTATATGATATGTTTTTGTTTCTTCAAGTGACCCAACTTCTCTCCTGAAATCCAATGCAACCCCAAATGAACTCTACATTAAGTGTTGAACATGTAAGGTAATACAAATGTAGCCATAAAGATTATGTTTCTAGTTGATTCCTCATTTATCCATTATCTGCAGTAGCTTTAAACTTAGATATGTTTCCTTCCACTAAGCATTTTGTACCATTAAATTAACATGAATAAATAATATCCCCTAATCAATCTTTGTCTGTTAAATATTTGATTCAGTTGCTTTGCAATGATGAGAATACCATAATGTATTCCTGTGTAATAAATTAATTACATTGTGCTTGGGGTCTGTCTGCCCCGTAGAAAATTAAACAGAAATCCAATTCTCCATCATAAATATTGTATTGTAAAATATGAACAACAATTCATGAATATATTAAATCTATGCGCTATAAGATCATTTATTGAAGGCAATGTATTGTCTGTAAAATAGAAAGAAAAAGCACGAAAAAGCACAAAAAAAGTAAACGTTATTGCTATCCATCAAACCACACAAGACGTAAACTACACCACCAAAAATGTGGACACCTGCTCGTCGAACATATTATTCCAAAATCATGGGCATTAATATGGAGTTGGTCCCCCCTTTGCTGCTATAACAGCCTCCACTCTTTTGGGAAGGTTTTCCAAAAGATTGCTGCGGGGACTTGCTTACATTCAGCCACAAGAGCATTAGTGAGGTCGGGCACTGATGCTGGGCGATTAGGCCCGCAGTCGGCGTTCCAATTCATCCCAAAGGTGTTCGATAGGGTTGAGGTCAGGGCTCTGTGCAGGCCAGTCAAGTTCTTCCACACCGATCTCGACAAACCATTTCTGTATGGACCTCGCTTTGGGGCCTTCCCCAAACTGTTGCCACAAAGTTGGAAGCACAGAATCGTCTAGAATGTCATTTGAATGCTGTAGTGTTAAGATTGCCCTTCACTGGAACTAAGGGGGCTAGCCCGAACCAAGAAGAACAGCCCCAGACCATTATTCCTCCTCCACCAAACTTTACAATTGGCACTATGCATTGGGCCAGGTTGCGCTCTCCTGGCATCCGCCAAAACCAGATTTGTCCATCCGACTGCCAGATGGTGAAGCGTGATTCATCACTCCAGAGAACGCGTTTCCACTGCTCCAGAGTCCAATGGCGGTGAGCTTTACACCACCCCAGCTGACGCATGGCATTGCGCATGGCGATATTAGGCTTGTGTGCGGCTGCTCGGCCATGGAAACCCATTTCATGAAGCTCCCGACAAACCGTTCTTGTGCTGACGTTGCTTCCAGAAGCAGTTTGGAACTCAGTACTGAGTGTTTCAACCGAGGACAGATTATCTTTTACGCACTACGCGCTTCGGCACTCGGCGGTCACGTTGTGTGAGCTTGTGTGGCCTACCACTTCGCGGCTGAGCCGTTGTTGCTCCTACATGTTCCCACTTCACAATAACAGCACTTACAGTTGACCGGGGCAGCTCTAGCGGGGCAGAATTTTGACGAACTGACTTGTTGGAAAGGTGGCATCCTATGACAGTGCCACGTTGAAAGTCACTGAGCTCTTCAGTAAGGCCATTCTACTGCCAATGTGTCTTTGGCGATTGCATGGTTGTGTGCTCGATTTTATACACGTCAGCAACGGTTGTGGCTGAAATAGCAGAATCCACTAATTTGAAGGGGTGTCCACATACTTTTGTATATATAGTGTACCTCTAACTGACAAGCTAGATAACCAGTTTGTAAAGTCAATTTAATTTAAATTTTTGACAATAGTCAACGCAACTGTGGTCCATTTGGGGGTAGGGGGAGGAAAGTGCTTTGTTGGTGGAATAAAACACTATTTCGTACTAAATATGACGTCCGTTAAAATGAACGTTATGTTTTTCCTATGGCTAAAGAAAAAGTTGCTTACATGGTGTTACTGTAGGCCTCTTGATAGTTACGATCAAGGAAATAGTTGGCAGATATTATTGGGGGTGATAAGAGGGTCCTTATTAAAGCTACGGGTGCAACTCAACACCACTAAATATCTAGGGCAACGGGTACAGTACCATTATGCCAATTTTGAGTTGAAGAACTATAAGGACACTTATCACCACTGTTTGAATCTAGGCCACAACAATACTGTACAGAATAGTATTATTACTTAAGGCTTTCTCTCCGGCATCTAAACTATGCACTACATATCCTTTTGCCTTATGTGCAAACAAAGCTAATTCCTTATGATTCGATAATGTGCTTCGTTCATATCAACTGGCCTTAATGCCTCAAGCAAGCGGGAATGTCAGTATTTGACAGTCTTAAAATGGGATGCAGATCACTGTAAGAACACCTGTCATCCCAAATCATACACTGGACACAGTAGATACCCATAATGTCATCTCTACACGACTCATCTTGAAATGTAAGATTCCAATTTGATGATTGCCTTAGAAAACTGATCACAGGTCAGAGGACGAAGCTTGCGTCTGTTTTGGAGTGTCCTCCTGTCCTTGTGCACGGACAGTCCCTCCACACTCCCATTTGCAGTAACTTTTGCAAACAAAGGCAGTCTTGGTCACATAAACCACGAGCTGAGGCTGTGCTGAGTTAGTTAGATTATGAACTTGACGTCGTTCTTCAGGTTGCCGTTGTTGACGCTGAAGTGGTCGGGGAGGATCCTCATCTTCATGGTGCCGTCGGCGCCGCACGAGAAGATGTGGTTGGCCGGGCCCACCTCGATCTGCATCACGCCTGTGCCCAGGTTCCGGAACAGGGACTGGCGAGCGTGCTCGTTGGGGAACTGGTGCAGTAAGCACTGCGTGGACAGGCCCCACACCTGCAACAACACTGCGCAATCAGGGGTGGAGCTACAGTACCAAGGCACGCACAGACACAGGAAGACTTTTTGTTATACCTTGCATTCGATTTATCATCAACATGCTATAGGGATCCAAATATCTTTCCTAATCCTGAGAGAATGTTTTTATTTTTGGTCTGATTTTGCAATAGGCTGCTCCAACCACCCTAGTGAAGGCGTTTACAACTACCCTAATCCCTTCGACTGCCCCCCTGAATTCTCCCAATTCCACCGATATACCCACCCACCCACAACCCTTGTTTTTTACCTATCCTAACCCAAGTCACCTGATGTGAGTCAAACAACAAACATGTGCAATGAGGTTGCTATGTAGCTAGTGAGGGAGAACACCTTGATGTTGCTCTCGGCGGAGCCACTGATGAAGCAGCCCTCGGTGGGGTCCACGGCCAGGGCCTTGACGGGGGAGTCGTGGGCCTGGACGCTCTGGCGCTGGCGCCAGTGGGGGAGCTCCAGCACGCTGATCCAGCCCTTCCTGCCACCTGTAATCAGCAGCTGCTGCCTGGGGGCCAGCGACTCATGACAACTAAAGGCTGCAGAGATAGGAGAAGAGAGAGAGAGAAAGCGGCAGAGAGAAAGAGTTTCTTTTAGGAACATAATTCAAATGTAACTTGGCTACTGTCTGTAGTATCGTTGGTTGGTGAATTATTGGATTCATTAGAAAGAGCCTCATCAAAGCTTTAAATCAATTTAAATAGAGTTGTGGCCTTACCGTGCACTAGGCTGTTCATTGTAGTCACCAGTGTATCCCACAGACACACGTTCCTATGGACACAAAACAAATCATTACTTACAGTGCTGCATTAGATCAACTGACTTACAGGCACTCTATACCATCAGCCCATTTGGTACCAACATTGGAGTGAAAGAGGTTTAATCACATGTGCTCTGCAGCATACCTGTTGTCTGTTGACAGCCCTTGCTGTGGCTATGAGGGAGCAGTCTTATTATGGCACTGCAATGTCTGTGGAGGGAAGGACAGCACCAATCAACAACAACAACGCTACCAGACAGTGGTACAGTAGGAGGAAGAATAAGACAGACAGACAGACAGACAGACAGACAGACAGACAGGTGCTTTGCTCCTACCAGATAGGGTTTAGGGGTGTTCCCAGTCGTATTGGTTTGCCATAGACTCAGAGCTCCATCACCGTCAACGATACCAAACTGGACAACACAATGAAGATCCTATTAGGACGAGAATTCCACTTGGGAGTAGCGGTATGTCAAGCAACTAAATCATTTCATCAGCAGTGGCCATGTGTTTGAAGGACGGAGTTGGATGGGGAAAACATTGATGTAAACTAAGGATGCGTCCCAACTGGCATCCTATTCCCTTTATAGAGCACTACTTTCGAACCAGATTCCTATGGGCCCTGGTCAAAGGTAATGCACAATAAATGGACTAGGGTGCCATTTGGGACACAGAGTTAAGGAGGCTAATATTCTCCTGTGCAGGGAAACGGCTCGTACCTTGTTTCCTTGGTGGTTGAATCGTATCCGTGTGACTCTAGAATTGCCTGGACTTCGGAAGCAGATGATCTGCTTAAGAGTGGCCCCACTCAAACATCCGGACACTTCCATCCTGCGCTCCTGTTAGGTCTGAGGGAGGGGGAGTGAAATCAAAACCATAACAATGCGATTCCCCAATCCCAATGTATTATTGATGAATAAGCAAACTGTGTAAATTCTTGGAATATTAGCATAAGGGACGGATGAGAACATTCAGGACTAAATAAAATAGACATGGTACACACAGACGTGGAGTTTCCAGTAACTGTATGAAAGCAGGAATCATTCCACATCTACTTACAGTAAGGCAAGGTAGGGTGGGAGGTCATCCTTCTCACATTGTTGATGTTCCTTTTGATGAGCTGCACGAGATAATACAAGGACATGATACTTCGACCGAAACTCTACAAGACATACATTATATATACAAAAGTATATGGACACCCCTTCAAATTAGTGGATTCGGCTATTTCAGCCACACCCGTTGCTGACAGGTGTATAAAATCGAGCACACAGCCATGCAATCTCCATAGACAAACATTGGCAGTAGAATGGCCTTACTGAAGAGCTCAGCGACTTTCAATGTGGCACCATCATTGGATGCCTCCTTTCCAACAAGTCAGTTCGTCAAATTTCTGCCTTGCTAGAGCTGCCCCAGTCAACTGTAAGTGCTGTTATTGTGAAGTGGAATTGTCTAGGAGCAACAACGGCTCAGCCGCGAAGTGGCACACAACGGGACCGCCGAGTGCTGAAGCACGTAAAAAATTGTCTGTCCTCGGTTGCAACATTCACTACCAAGTTCCAAACTGCTTCTGGAAGCAACGTCAGAACAATAACTGTTCGTCGGGAGCTTCATGAAATGGGTTTCCATGGCCGAGGAAATGAGTTCTCTGGAGTGATGAATCACGTTTCACCATCTGGCAGTCAACAAACGAATCTGGGTTTGGTGGATGCCAGAACGCTACCAGCCCGAATGCATAGTGCCAACTGTAAAGTTTGGTGGAGGAGTAGTAATGGTCTGGGGCTGTTTTTCATGGTTCGGGCTAGGCCCCTTAGTTTCAGTGAAGGGAAATCTTAATGCTACAACATACAGTGACATTCTAGACGATTCTGTGCTTCCAACTTTGTGGCAACAGTTTGGGGAAGGCCTTTTCCTGTTTAGTATGACAATGCCTCTGTGCACAAAGCGAGGTCCATACAGAAATGGTTTGTCGAGATAGGTGTGGAAGAACTTGACTGGCCTGCACAGAGCCCTGACCTCAATCCCATTGAACACCTTTGGGATGAATAAGAACACAGACTGCGAGCCACGCCTAATCGCCCACCATCAGTGCCCGACCTCACTCATTTGTGGCTGAATGGAAGCAATTCCCCGCAGCAATGTTCCATCATCTAGTGGAAAGCCTTCCCAGAAGAGTGGAGGCTGTTACAGCAGCAAAAGGGGGACCAACTCCATATGAATGCCCATGATTTTGGAATTACAGTGGGGAGAACAAGTATTTGATACACTGCCGATTTTGCAGGTTTTCCTACTTACAAAGCATGTAGAGGTCTGTCATTTTTATCATAGGTACACTTCAACTGTGAGAGACGGAATCTAAAACAAAAATCCAGAAAATCACATTGTATGATTTTTATGTAATTAATTTGCATTTTATTGCATGACATAAGTATTTGATCACCTACCAACCAGTAAGAATTCCGGCTCTCACAGACCTGTTCTCCACTGATTACCTGTATTAACTGCACCTGTTTGAACTCGTTACCTGTATAAAAGACACCTGTCCACACACTCAATCAAACAGACTCCAACCTCTCCACAATGGCCAAGATCAGAGAGCTGTGTAAGGACATCAGGGATAAAATTGTAGACCTGCACAAGGCTGGGATGGGCTACAGGACAATAGGCAAGCAGCTTGGTGAGAAGGCAACAACTGTTGGCGCAATTATTAGAAAATGGAAGAAGTTCAAGATGACGGTCAATCACCCTCGGTCTGGGGCTCCATGCAATATCTCACCTCGTGGTGCATCAATGATCATGAGGAAGGTGAGGGATCAGCCCAGAACTACACGGCAGGACCTGGTCAATGACCTGAAGAGAGCTGGGACCACAGTCTCAAAGAAAACTATTAGTAACACACTACGCCGTCATAGATTAAAATCCTGCAGCGCACGCAAGGTCCCCCTGCTCAAGCCAGTGCATGTCCAGGCCCGTCTGAAGTTTGCCAATGACCATCTGGATGATCCGGAGGAGGAATGGGAGAAGGTCATGTGGTCTGATGAGACAAAAATAGAGCTACTGGTTCAACGAGCAGATGTCCACATACTTTTGGTCATGTAGAATGAGTAGAATTTACTGCATTGTGTTGCACTGTATATCATTGGTAAAAACAAGGAACCACAGTAAAGGCTCCATGTGCCTCACCACGGCAGCGCCTCACCACGGCAGCACCTCTCCCCGTCTGCAGGCCCCCGAGCCAGGGCATGTTGATGGGCGTCCCTGGGCTGCTGTGGGTGTAGGGCAGGGTTCTTCAATTCCGGTCCTGGAGGGCCGAAACACTTCTATTTAGAATTCAAGGCACACTTAACCAGCATGGCTACCACAGCATTCTGCAGCAATACGCCATCCCATCTGGTTTGGGCTTAGTGGGACTATCATTTGTTTTTCAACAGGACAATGACCCAACACACCTCCAGGCTGTGTCTATTTTGTATACAGCAGTACTGTGTGTCTAAGACAACTTCCCCCTTGGGACATTAAAGTTCATCCTAACCTATCCTATAACATGTGTGGTACCTTGTTGATGGCGAAGGCAGTAGTGATGTCCGACTCCTTGTGGATGATTCGGGCCTTGCCTCTGGGGTAGCCCAGATCTGCATCGACCTGTAGAGCAACACATGAATCATTCTGCATTCTCTGCACATCTGAAAGATTAAAGTGTGACCTAAAGGAACAGTGGTGGGAGATGAATGGACAACTCATGCCCATCTCTGGTGGGAGGATGACGTGTGTATCTGTAATAGAGCTTTGCCTCAGGGCTACAGGTTGAGAGACTATAGAGCATCAAGGCCACACAGTTATATCAGGATTAGTGCGATTGTTAGCATGGCCTTTGACAATCCTCAGTATAAGAGACATAGCACATATAGAGCCAATGAGATGGGCGTATTATTGTATAATGTATAGAGATATAATGACGCGAGGACAGAGGCTTTTATAGAACATTAGGTTGAATTACATTCTACATCACAATTATTTAAATGGAAAAGACCACATTTTCCTGTCAAGAGTGTTCTGCTTGACTGTGAGATCTAAATATGGTGACATACCATTTTCACATAGGACTTAATCTTAACCTGATGAACATTCATCGTGACACTGTGAGCCTGCTAATCAGAACCTATTAGACTTCATGAGAGTATCACTCTCCTCTGCACATTCTGTGTAATTAGTTAGTGAGCTATGGGAGGCACTATGGTAACCTAATCCAGTATAGACAATTTGTATCACAGAGTAATGTAAAATAATTAATTCTGAAAATGTTTTATGAGGTAAATTCACACCATATATACCCACAGGACTGTATATGTGGTGAATCTACTATCACTTTCAGATGAAAGCATGGTAAAGTCTTTCATATAGTGCTATACTGTGACAGTACATATATTTTTTCAATTCTTAATTAAAGGGATACTTTGGGATTTTGGCAATGAGGCCCTTTAGCTACTTCCCCAGAGTCAGATGAACTCGTGGATACCATTTATATATCGCTAGCAATCTTCAAGTCACTGCGCTAACACTAGTTAGCATTGGCTCACAAAACTACAGTACCTCCAACTTCCTTCATACTGGACACAGACATAAAACTGGTATGCATTTGTTCATCAGACTCTGGGGAAATAGATAAAGGGCCTCATTGCCAACATCCTTTAAGCTGTGCACTATAAAATTCATTAAGATCTCCGATTGCCTTTGTGATCCACTTATTAAGCTCATACTAATAACATTTCAATAAAACCATTGCTGCTTTATTTTTAAATGGGCCAAATTGCTTAACTAATTCGTTTAATTAATTCAAAGAATTTAGGAAATTTGCCAAATGAATAATAAGTTGGGAAAGTGAGATGTCAGTTTCCACTCTTTTTTAGTTTTTTTAAAATGGTCTTCAAGGCAAACCGCACAATAACGAAGCCACAATCGAAAAGCTTCATAAAAGGCATTAGGTAGAATTAAATTAATCCACTAATATATTTTTTATCTACATATCTTAAATGACATCGTGTTCATGAATTTTATGATATAATCTTCAAGTCCAATCAAAACCAGAAGAAATAGACATTGAAGTGGAGGCGGAAATAGACTTTCGTATTGCACAGTTGTCAATAAAACACAGGAAGAAAACTGGATGGTTTTACTGGTCAATCAACATGATAATTACAACCCATAAACCCCCACCACCAAAATGATCCAAAGCAGTACCTGGGTTGCAGCAAGGCTCCTCCATCCCTGAACATTTGTCATTTTCATTGTGGTCCTCAACCGACTTAATAATTTGAGAATCCCACAATCAGACAAAACAATGTGACGATTCATGCAGAGTCAACAGTAAACACACAAATCTAGAATTAGACGGTTAATTATCAGGGTTGAAAAATATTATACACCAAAATGTAAAAAGGCAATTAGGATACAAATAAAAGGGGCATGCAAAACAAAAAGCACAAATGCATCAACAATGACATACAAAGGTAATGACACTCTCTCTGGGACTAGAAGAGCTGTTTTAGATTTTATTCAGTGACAGTTTTCAATGTGCAAGTGCTCAGCTGTCTGCAGCATGCAGTGGGTGGGCAAAGCGAAGCGGTAGCTACCTCGTTTTGGTCTCGTTTCTTTGTGAAAATGTTGCGGATGAAGGTCTCCTGCACCTTCTCCTGTTTGACCAGGTACTGCCACAGCCTCTTCACAGGCAGGGCAGAGTGGTGACTGGACCTGCAGCCACACAACACAACACTCCCCTCGGTTAGATAGCTCACACAGGCTCACTTCCAATAAGAATTTATGGCATTCTGTGGCATACCGAAAACATACAATTACTGAATGTTATGGCAAACGATTTATCAATATACAGAGAATTCCCGTTTGGAGATGTGTTTCGAGCACCCCTGAAGGGTGTGTTGGAGGGCTCAAACATGGCTTTGTGTCTGAGGATGACGGAGCCCGAGGCACCAGTCTTGTCCAGAGGGTGTGTTGAGATGTACTTGGAGGGCGGCCCCCCGAAGATCTCCAGCCTCTTCAGCAACACCTGCTCCCAGCGCTGCAGTGTCTTCAGCACCGCGTCACAGAGGAGAGACCACGGGTAGATCTAACACACAGACGTGCACACACACAAAACACAAACCCTTAAAAAAACTTCTCTCAGAACACACCAGCATTCCTCTGTGACATTAAGAACAGTACTTTCAACTCAAAGTACACAGAAAACAAGCATATCTTCCCCAGAGAGATGCTGAGCTCCGGGGAGACAAAGTGCTCTTTGAAGATGGAGGTCTCTTGCTCCACCACGGAGCTGGCTGGCCCCTCTCTGGAGGCACTGCGTGACGACAGCAGCTTGAACCGCTTATACTTCCTGTCTGACCCCTCACTGGCTGTTGAGACTGAACCACACACACATTTGATGTAGTGGACTTGCCATTTTTCAGTGTAGTCATGATTTATAATAGGTGTGTAAGACTGACATAATTCAAGATATGAATGAGATCTAGTTACAGTATAGGTGGGCTACAAGAGCTGCAGTGTGTGTAAGCTGTTGTTCCAGCCCAGCTGTAATACACCCAATTCAACCAACCATGATCTTCAACAGACCATTATTCTTTGAATCGGGGGAGTTCATACTGGGCTGGAACAAAAACCTGCACACACTGGGGACCACAAGGCCCGGAGTTGCCCGCCCTTCATTCCAGCAACATCAGCCTCTAACATCTGGCTTGTGCACACACACACACACACACACACACACACACACACACACACTACCCGCACACGGATAGCAGACCTGGGGGTGACTTGGCCGGGCTGGGCTTCTCTGTGACGGGGGTGCATGCCCCCCCTCCGAACACGGCCACCCACAGCTTGCTGTTGAGCGGGTGGGCTACGATGCGGAACAGCTCGTTGCTGGAGTGGGTCGCCAGGCCGTGTACAAACAGGATGAGGAAGACGGCCGTCAGGATCTCACACAGTAACACGGCCAGGCCGGGCTGGCTCTCTTCACCAGGAGGATCAGAGCACCGATACCTAAAACACAGAGAAAGAGAGAGATGGTGAGTGAGGGAGAGAGAGAAAATGAATTGAGTAGGATTAAAGCATCAAAACTAATCCTCACACTTCTTGCTTTTTACTGAAAGTGCTTGAAAACTTTACTGCTGACATGCAACATTTTAAGACCATATCAACAGTGCACTTAATAAATCAAATACAACTTTTTCTTTTTGTAAAGTGATCCTTTAAGGTTGTATGTTTAGGACTAAATGTTGACGACCGTGGCGTTGATGTAGCGATGGTTCTCCAGACATGATACATGGGGCTCATCTCTGTGAAATGACAGAGGTGTGTTGTGGAAGTGGGTTTACCTGGCCACTGTGCTGGGGAGGTGTTGAGCAGGACAGTCTCCTCCATGCTCACGGTGCGTACCGGGTGGTGCTGGGAGAGAAGGATACTCTGGTACACTATCCCTGTGAACTGATTCACATGGCTGGGACACAAAAACAAATCAAGGACACCCAGGTCATTAAGCATAAAGGAAGGGGAAGTTCCATGGATATGTGAACAAGGGGAAATTGCTATATGTACAGCGCATTCGGAAAGTATTCAGACCCCTTGACTTTTTCCACATTTTGTTACTTTACAGCCTTATTCTAAAATGGATTTTAAAAAAGATCCCCTCATCAATCTACACACAATCCCCCATAATGACATATCAAAAACAGGTTTTTAGAACTTTTTGCAAATATATATTTTTTAAAAACCCAGAAATATCACATTTACATAAGTATTCAGACCCTTTACTCAGTACTTTGTTGAAGCACCTTTGGCAGCGATTACAGCCTTGAATCTTCTTGGGTATGACCCTACAAGCTTGGCACTCCTGTTTTTGGGGAGTTTCTCCCATTCTTCTCTGCAGATCCTCTCAAGCACTGTCAGACTGGATGGGGAGCGTCGCTGCACAGCTATTTTCAGGTCTCTCCAGAGATGTTAGTTTGGATTCAAGTCCGGGCTCTGGCTAGGCCAATCAAGGACATTCAGAGACTTGTCCCGAAGCCACTCCTGCATTGTCTTGGCTGTGTGTTTAGTGTTGTTGTCCTGTTGGAAGGTGAACCTTCGCCCCAGTCTAAGGTCCTGAGCGCTCTGGAGCAGGTTTTCATCAAGTATCTCTCTGTACTTTGCTCCGTTCATGTTTCCCTCAATAATGACTAGTCTCCCAGTCCCTGCCGCTGAAAAACATCCCCACAGCATGATGCTGCCACCACCATGCTTCACCGTAGGGATGGTGCCAGGTTTGCTCCAGATGTGACGTTTGGCATTCAGGCCAAAGAGTTCAATCTTGATTTCATCAGACCAGAGAATCTTATTTCTCATGGTCAGAGTCCTTTAGGTGCCTTTTGGCAAACTCCAAGCGGGCTGTCGTGTGCCTTTTACTGAGGAGTGGCTTCCATCTGGCCACTCCACCATAAAGGCCTGATTGGTGGAGTGCTGCAGAGATGGTTGTTTTCTGGAAGGGTATCCCATCTCCACAGAGGAACTATGGAGCTCTGTCAGTGACCATCGGGTTCTTGGTCACCTCCCTGACCAAGACCCTTCTCCATCGATTGCTCAGTTTGGCCGGGCGGCCAGCTCTAGGAAGAGTCTTGGTGGTTCCAAACTTCTTCCATTTAAGAATGATGGAGGCCACTGTGTTCTTGGGGAACTTCAATGCTGCAGAAATGTTTGGTACCCTTCAGCCGATCTGTGCCTCGACACAATCCTGTCTCGGAGCTCTACGGACAATTCCTTCGACCTCATGGCTTGGTTTTTGCTCTGACATGCACTGTCAACTGTGGGACCTTATATAGACAGGTGTGCCTTTACAAATCATGACCAATCAATTGAATATACCACAGGTGGACTCCAATCAAGTTGTAGAAACATCAAGGATGATCAATGGAAACAGGATGCACCTGAGCTCAATTTCGAGTCTCATAGCAAAGGGTCTGAATACTTACGTAAATAACATACAGTACCGGTCGAAAGTTTAAGAACACCTACTGATTCAAGGGTTTCTTTATTTTTACTATTTTCTACATTGTAGAATAATAGTGAAGACATCAAAACTATGAAATAACACATATGGAATCATGTAGTCTGCAGTGAGACAATATAAAAAGCTAACAAAGCTTTTCAGATGTTCGCCAGACGGAATCACCGACTGTGGGTTAACTTTAGAGTGAACCTTTTCGACAAACCTCTGACACGACTGTGGTGGGATTTTTTAAAAAGCATTAGCATAACAAAGGGGGTGTTCAATTAGAAAAAGCTAATTTAGTCTGACTGCATCGCTTCATTGTACACACGAGAGGAGGAACTGTTGGGCACAGTTCAAAACAAAGTACGCACTCATTTACAGATCTGTGGGCTTTGAAATGCCAAGGGCAGGTGGAGGGACAATAGATCCAAAATTCATTCAACCGCTGTAAATTTTTTTTTTTATCAATGAGGCTGATGCAACAGATCAGGGCCCGGTTTCCTAAAAGCATCTTAAAGCGGCAATCAGCAGTTGAAACAATAACAAAGGCCAATCCCCGCCCCTGTTTTAGTAAAAAGCTGAAGGATGGGGTTGGAGAAATGTAACCACTCTCAAATTCATAGAGCCATGGATACAAGGACTGACCATCCATGATATCAAAATTATAGTGTTTACAAACATTGGCGTAAAACAAGCTTATATTTTGGGTTCTGAAGGGGTATGGCTGTTGAACTAAGCTTATGAGGCATTTCTGGGTTATATTCTTTAAGAATCAATGGGTATATATATATACACACACACACACACATACACACGTACATACACACACACACACTGAACAAAAATATAAACGGAACATGCAACAATTTCAAAGATTTGACTGAGTTACAGTTCATATAGGGAAATCAGTCAATTGAAATGAAATGTATTCGGCACCTAATCTATGGATTTCACATGACTAAGAATACAGATATGCATCTGTTGGTCACAGATATCTTTAAAAAAAGATAGGGGCGTGGATCAGAAAACCAGTCAGTATCTGGTGTGACCACCATTTGCCTCATGCAGCGCGACATCTCCTTCGCATTGAGTTGATCAGGCTGTTGATTGTGGCCTGTGGAACGTTGTCCCACTACTCTTCAATGGCTATGCGAAGTTGCTGGATATTGGCGGAAACTGGAACACGCTGTCGTACAAGTAGATCCTGAGCATCCCAAACATGCTCAATGGGTGACATGTCTGGTGAGTATACAGGCCATGGATGAACTGGGACATTTTCAACTTCCAGGAATTGTGCACAGATTGTTGCGACATGGGGCCGTGCATTACCATGCTGAAACATGAGGTGATGGCAGTTGATGAATGGTACGACAATAGGCCTCAGAATCTCATCATGGTATCTCTGTGCATTCAAATTGCCATCGATAAAATGCAATTGTGTTCATTGTCCGTAGCTTGCCTGCCCATACCATAACCCCACCGCTAACATGGGGCACTCTGCTGATGTCAATGTTGTGAACAAACTGCTCGCCCACACAACGCCATACATGTGGTCTGCTGTTGTGAGGTCGGTTGGACGCACTACCAAATTCTCTAAAATGACTGAGGTGGCTTATGCTAGAGAAGCTTTATTTCAGCTTATGAAACATGGGACCAACACTTTCATGTTGCGTTTATATGTTTGTTCAGTGTTGTTTAACAATGCTGACTGCCTCCACTCAGATTGCAAGGTGGGTGATGTGTGCGTTGCGCAATAGGCCCTGGTCTTTCTCGCCGCTCGTGACCATTTGATCTGAACGAAACGTACCTGGAGTACGTAACTCCTAAACTGCTTGCTACTTACTTTACACTGTACTACATAAAAATGATTGTAGGGGGTTTACTAACACATGAATTCTAGTAGCTATGTTGACTATGACAGTAATATGGTGACAAAGATGTAGGTTGTGTGTAGCGGTTAGCGGTTATGATATGGTTTGGCTTGGAAAGCTTTTTTCGCCTGGTCACAGGAAGCTGATGTGTTGTGCACTGAATTCCACAAGCGAAGAGAAAAGGTGAGAGGAGAGCGTGTAGATGCGAGAAAGAATACAACGATCAAAGGATTCATGTTTTTTAATGTGGCTGCTATTACAGTGAACTGTATTTGCGTATGATGAGGGGTGCATTCATTCCACCGATTCTGTTGAAAAACGTTCATAAACGAAAGCAAACGGAACTGAGATAAATATACCAGAATTTGTCCAATAGAAACTCTCGTTTACAACTGTTGGACTAATGATTACACCCTAGATCAGCTAGATGCAGGCAAGAGTGTGCAAGGCGGTATTGAATGTATCAATTTCTGTCACCTTGATTACTCAAATTTCATCCTCCCTCATCTTAAACAGCACTGACCACCACTGCACCTAGGCTACACTTTGACATGTAGGCTAATTATTTATGAACATTTATGCAAAATAGATTTGAATATTATTCCAATGAGGCACATTTTGTTATGCACATTTCTGGCTCAGTTGACAGCCCCATTTATCTATTTCAGTAGTAGGCTACTCTTATTAGGCTTTTAAACCTAGGTCCTAAAGTAGACCCATGTTGGCATATCAAATCATTTTTTAAAAAAGTAAGTATTTTAATTGGGGCGGTTGAAATCACACTTCAGGACGGTGATGAAAGAAGTTAGTCTCGAGCCCTGGTCACATGGGTCCTATTTTAATAAGGTCATTCCAACCACTAAACGAGTAAGTAAAAAAGCTCTACTTAACTTTACACACTTTTTCCTTGTTGCTGTTCTAGGATCAGATAACATTATAATTATAATTCATAATTGTATGATTATTACATACACTGAGAGGTAGATTGTCAAGATCAGATGCACCGTGTAGTTCAAATGTCTGAAATGTTGCCTAATGTGCATTTCCCAGCATGGTTATGGTTATGTGACATTCTAGTACAGATATCAAGTGCACAGAGCAAAGAGGTGGGTGTTAGGATCCAGACTCACCTGTAGTTGTGGCCGTCACAAGACACTGGTATATGCAGGCGGACAGTGAGGCTGCCAGTGTGTGCGTCACATAGATCTGAAAGAGCAGGAGGAATTCATACATCAGATACATTAGGATCAGTGGAACACTCCCTCCAATCCATCAACTCACCCAATAATTGATCTCTACATCACAAAATCTAAACTCAAACGCTTCTGACTATTTTTGCCCCCTGTTCTCATATTTAAAGCACATTACTACCAAATGTATTAACATGATCTTTGTGTGTAGTTCAAGAAAGTGCATGATAGCCTTGGGTGTATAAGCATGTGTCTGACCTCGTTGTTGATGACGTCTGGGTGTGGCGGGGAGTCCAGTGCGTTTATGGTGTGCAGGATGTCGTGGGTGTGGTTGGTCAGATGGACGATGGGGTTGGCCACCACCGTTTTGGCGCTGGCAGTGTACGCCAGCAGGAGAGAGATGGGGAGGTAGGGGACTATGGCCATCTGGACACGGTCATCCTGCGGACATAAAGTAGTATGGCGTGACTGAATGAAGACCGTCAGCACACACATGCGCACACACACACACTAACAAAGAAAATACATAAACTGAATAAACATCCTAACAAACAACTCTCAAAGCGAAGCGTGGAAATAAATATAGCAAATGCGGTTCACGCGTCAGATCAGAGACTTGCTGCTTTAGTAAGTAATCAGACAGACGAGTCAGAGGAGTTCCTGTCGTGGTATGACAGGAGCATTTGATGTTCCGAAGGCTTCAGAGGAGAGTAGTGTGTGTTCCTGGTGTCTGTGACGCGAAGCATATTTCTCCAAATCTCCCTAAATGTAGGACGAGGCCTCTCAGAAGGGAAGAGAGCAGAGAATGAGAATCAGCCCCGCCTGTCACAGCCACACACTGGAGATGTCACCTATCAGCTACATGAAACCCCAAGCCACCCGCTGGAAACCACGGTTTGCTGCTTTAAGGCAAACACCAGGCTCAGACTAAAACAACACTCTTTTGTTTTGTTACGGTTCTTCGCTTCAGTGTTTGTGTAGTTATGCTTCCTTCCTATCCCTCCTCTGAGAACTTGCTGTCAAGTACTGAGATGCAAGTGCCTCACAACTAAGATAGTTTTTTGTTTGAAGGGTTTAATTACTAGTATGCGGATATTGTATCCATTTGCTCCTATTTATGATAAGATTGACAACATGCAGCCTATGTGTAAGATTGACAACATACATTGTGCTGTACCTGTTGGGACTTCTGCAGCAGCAGGATGAGCACCATGCGCACGGAGGCCAGGCCTTCCCCCGTGGGAGCCGTGCAGGCTGCAGTAGCTGAGGAACATGCGCAGGAGAGGCTGGTTGCTCTGAAGCCAGTATCTGCGGGTGCACTGGGCCTCTCCAGGCTGGGCCTGGACCTCCTCCTCTCCCCCTGGTCCTTCCATGCTCTGGGCCAGCTCCGGCAGGCAGGGTTGCAGCACCTCTGCAGGGCAACCACCTCCCTCTCCAGCCACTGGCACAGCTGGTAGCCCAGCTTCCCCCTGTCCAGCTCGTACCCCGTGGACAGCGTCTGTAGTTCTGTGGTCAGGATCTTCAGGCATGCGCTGAACTTGAGCTGAGCGGCCAGGATGTCCTCCGAGGGCAATAGGATGTCGTCTTCTTCTAGCGGTGTCTCCGTCAAAAGAGAGATGGCGTTCCTGGAAGACGCTGCTGTTGTTATCAGTGCTGGTGTTTTTCATTGCCAAGCCCTGTGGTTCATAATCATCGTCCTCCTCCTCGTCGCTGTTCCATTTCAGCTCCAGGGCTTCATCCTGAACGGCCACAGAGGGCTCGCTCCAGTCAAAACTCAGCACAGAGTCCGACTGGCAGTTGGACAAGCTATCCGACACAGACTTGAACCCGTTCAAGACGGGCTGAGACCAGTCCAACTCTGACGCCTGCACCTTTTTCGTCTCGCTCAGGTCGGGGTTGGTGGGATCGTCCTGGTGGAGCTTGGATCTTTTGAGGACTTTGGGCATTTTGGAGAGGACCTCCAGGGCCAGCATGGGCAGCCAGCCTGCAGGTGAGCGTAGGCTGCCGTGAAGAACAGCCTCCTCTCCACCAGGCTTATGGAGTGGGCCATGCGGCCTTCCGCCGTCAGACCAACTCTGGCCTTCTCAGACGAGCCGAAGTGGCGGCGCAGCAATAGCGGATGTGTCCGGAGGTAGGTGTAGAAGTTGAAAACCTCAGGGTTAGAAGGGGACATGGATGAGGTACCTGCAAAGCACAGCTCTATCATTAATTGACCTCCAAATAACCTACAAAATGATTGAACCACAAATCTACGAAGTGAAAAAGATCATTCTCGGACTACTACCAGGCTGAGTGCTGTGGCCAGCCTGAGTGAAGGAGCCTGGGTTTGGGGCAGCAGGCTGCCCCAGCAGAGTGTGAAGTGCCCGGCTGTAGTCCTCCAGTACCCAGTAGGCCATGCTGCGCAGGAAAGGGTCCTGGTGGGCAGGCAGCTGGCAGGCTTGGCCCAGCACGTGCTTCTGCAGGATGCGCTTGTAGGTGGAGGACGTCTCAAACTCGGACTCGTATAGCCGGGAGATTACCAGGGCCAGCTGCAGGTCCTGCATCTTTTCCAGGCAAACCTGTACAAGGCAAGCCGACCCCCACCGAGCATTACTGTTGAAAGCAATTGCAGTAGCAGCACGGAGAATTACCTCACAGGAATATCAAACAAGGTCACCTCTACCCTTGGCCTGGCCAGACGTCATTTGCATAAAATGCTCAAAAACACACATTTGTATTTTATTATTTAAGAAGAAAAAGAGGTACTGTAGCTACCTCTCTCCTGAAAATCTTTGTATGAAAAAGGTGGCACACTAAGGACATCAGATCTATCTGCTTACAGCAATATGAGGACATTTTTACCTCCACAGCATCCTTGAGGGAGCCTGCCAGTAGGAAGAAAGCTGCAGAGTGCTGGAAGCGCTGCTTCCCCAGCAGAGAGAAGGCGTTCTTTAAGGCAGCCATTCTCCACCGGTCCTCACTGAAGTTGTTGCTGAAGAAAGCTGTCATTTTGACATTCTTCTGAGACCTTGACGGTACAACAAAGGTTGTCATTAGACTTTCTAGAATGTGAAAGAATTGTTCCAATCTTGTCAAGGGTTTTGGGGAATGATATTCAAGAACTTCTCAAAGACATTACCTGTACAGTCCCCAGACCACCGCTTTCTTTTTCATAGCGAGATAGAATATGGCAGCGTCCAGAGGATCGTTCTGCCTTTGAAAAGATGCTTTTGCTACCTGATGAACAACAGAGGTATAAAAATACATTAATATATAGGTCATTCCACACACGCTCATTTATAATACTTAATTCAGTAGTGCAGCAAAACCTGACTTTGTCCTACTTTTGAATCTCAAAGAATAAGGCAATCAATAACTATATATGTAAAGATGTACAGTGGGGAAAAAAAGTATTTAGTCAGCCACCAATTGTGCAAGTTCTCCCACTTAAAAAGATGAGAGAGGCCTGTAATTTTCATCATAGGTACACGTCAACTATGACAGACAAAATGAGAAAAAAAAATCCAGAAGATCACATTGTAGGATCTTTAATGAATTTATTTGCAAATTATGGTGGAAAATAAGTATTTGGGTCACCTACAAACAAGCAAGATTTCTGGCTCTCACAGACCTGTAACTTCTTCTTTAAGAGGCTCCTCTGTCCTCCAGTCGTTACCTGTATTAATGGCACCTGTTTGAACTTGTTATCAGTATAAAAGACACCTGTCCACAACCTCAAACAGTCACACTCCAAACTCCACTATGGCCAAGACAAAAGAGCTGTCAAAGGACACCAGGAACAAAATTGTAGACCTGCACCAGGCTGGGAAGACAGAATCTGCAATAGGTAAGCAGCTTGGTTTGAAGAAATCAACTGTGGGAGCAAATATTAGGAAATGGAAGACATACAAGACCACTGATAATCTCCCTCGATCTGGGGCTCCACGCAAAATCTCACCCCGTGGGGTCAAAATGATCACAAGAACGGTGAGCAAAAATCCCAGAACCACACGGGGGGACCTAATGAATGACCTGCAGAGAGCTGGGACCAAAGTAACAAAGCCTACCATCAGTAACACACTACGCCGCCAGGGACTCAAATCCTGCAATGCCAGACGTGTCCCCCTGCTTAAGCCAGTACATGTCCAGGCCCGTCTGAAGTTTGCTAGAGTACATCCAGAAGAGGATTGGGACAATGTCATATGGTCAGATGAAACCAAAATATAACTTTTTGGTAAAAACTCAACTCGTCGTGTTTGGAGGACATAGAATGCTGAGTTGCATCCAAAGAACACCATACCTACTGTGAAGCATGGGGGTGGAAACATCATGCTTTGGGGCTGTTTTTCTGCAAAGGGACCAGGACGACTGATCCGTGTAAAGGAAAGAATGAATGGGGCCATGTATCGTGAGATTTTGAGTGAAAACCTCCTTCCATCAGCAAGGGCATTGAAGATGAAACGTGGCTGGGTCTTTCAGCATGACAATGATCCCAAACACACCGCCCGGGCAACGAAGCAGTGGCTTCGTAAGAAGCATTTCAAGGTCCTGGAGTGGCCTAGCCAGTCTCCAGATCTCAACCCCATAGAAAATCTTTGGAGGGAGTTGAAAGTCCATGTTGCCCAGCGACAGCCCCAAAACATCACTGCTCTAGAGGAGATCTGCATGGAGGAATGGGCCAAAATACCAGCAACAGTGTGTGAAAACCTTGTGAAGACTTACAGAAAACGTTTGACCTGTGTCATTGCCAACAAAGGGTATATAACAAAGTATTGAGAAACTTTTGTTATTGACCAAATACTTATTTTCCACCATAATTTGCAAATAAATTCATAAAAAATCCTACAATGTGATTTTCTGGATTTTTTTCCCTCATTTTGTCTGTCATTGACGTGTACCTATGATGAAAATTACAGGCCTCTCTCATCTTTTTAAGTGGGAGAACTTGCACAATTGGTGGCTGACTAAATACTTTTTTTCCCCACTGTACAGTGCCTGTATTCATACCCCTTGACTTATTCCAATTTTGTTGTGTTACAGCCTGACTAATTACAAATTTTTTGAAAATGAAATACAGAAATATCTCATTTACATAAGAATTCACACCCCTGAGTCAATACATGTTAGAATTAACTTTGGCAACAATTACAGCTGTGAGTCTTTCTGGGTAAGTCAGAGCTTTGCACACCTCGATTGTACAATATTTGCACATTATTCTTTTTAAAATTCTTCAAGCTCTGTCAAGTTGGATGTTGATCATTGCTAGACAGCCATTTTCAAGTCATGCCATAGATTTTCAAACTGATTTAAGTCAAAACTAGTCTTGGTAAGCAACTCCACTGTAGATTTGGCCTTGTGTTTTAGGTTATTTTCCTGCTGAAAAGTGAATTTGTCTCCCAGTGTTTGTTGGAAAGCAACAGAACCAGGTTTTCCTCTAGGATTTTGCATGCGCTTAGCTCTATTCCGTTTTTATCCTAAAAAAACTTCCTAGTCCTTGCCGATGACAAGCATACCCATAACATGATGCAGCCACCACCATGCTTGAAAATACGTCCCCTGTAGCTCAGTTGGTAGAGCATGGCGCTTGCAACGCCAGGGTTGTGGGTTCGTTTCCCACGGGGGGCCAGTATGAAAAATGTATGCACTCACTAACTGTAAGTCGCTCTGGATAAGAGCGTCTGCTAAATGACTAACATGTAAAATATAAATGAAGAGTGGTACTCAGTGATGCGTTTGATTTGCCCCAAACATAATGCTTTGTATTCAGGACATAAAGTTAATTTCTTTGCAGTTTTACTTTAGTGCCTTGTTGCAAACAGGATGGATGTTTTTGGAATATTTTTTATTCTGTACAGGCTTCCTTCTTTTCACTCTGTAATTTAGGTTGGTATTGTGAGGTAACTACAATGTTGTTGAACCATCCTCAGTTCTCTCCGATCACAGCCATTAAACTCTGTAACCATTTTAAAGTCACCATTGGCCTCATCATGAAATCCCTGAATGGTTTCCTTCCTCTCCGGCAACTGATTTAGGAAGGACGCCTGTATCTTTGTAGTGACTGGGTGTATTGATACACCATCCAAAGAGTAATTAATAACTTCCCCATGCGCAAAGGGATATTCAATGTCTGCTTTTTTATATTTTTACCCATCTGCCCTTCTTTGCAAGGCATTGGAAAAGCTCCCTGGTCTTTGTGGTTGAACCTGTGTTTGAAATGTACTGCTCGACTGAGGGATCTTACAGATAATTGTATGTGTGTGGTACAGAGATGAGTTAGCCATTCAAAAATCATGTTAAACACTATTATTGCACACAGAGTGAGTCCATGCAACTTAAGTAACTTGTTAAGCAAATATTTACTCCTGAACTTGTTTAGGCTTGCCATAACAAAGGGGTTGAATACTTATTGACTCAAGACATTTCAGCTTTTCATTTGAAATTAATTTGTAAACATTTGAAAAACACAATTCCACTTTGACATTATGGGGTATTGTGAGTAGGCCAGTGACACATCATTTCAATTTAATCAATTTTAAATTGAGGCTGGAACATAACAAAATGTGCAAAACGTCAAAGCGTGTGAATACTTTCTGAAATCACTTGGGCTCACCTTTTCAATACACTGACCAGCCCACGCCCATGGCGCGTAGTTCAGGCCATGTGGGGTCTCCCTTCTGCAGGGCAGGCAGCATGTTGAAAAGCTCCTCCTCAGCCTCAGAGTGGAAAGGCCAGGCGTAGTGACAGGTGGACAAGCCTGGAGAACCAAATACAGGTTATCAGACAATCAATCATCACACAAGTCTACATAGCACGGGCAGGGCCATTGAGGCAATCTCCATTTTGAAGTAGTCCATTTTCTTCTTCACAATTTGCTGATCCCTCCTGATGACTCGGTTAGACATGACTCCAACAGGGTCACCAGGAGGGATCAGACAATGAAGTTGGAAGTCCCACCCAGTTGAATACATTAAAATGGTGGAAGCCCTCATTCGCTTTTTTTATTTTTTTATTTTTTTAGGGCTCTATAATTCTCTATGGGTTGCAGTAACTTTATATTCACACAGCTTCTAAGGCAGCATTTCCCAAACTCTGCCCTGGGGACCTCAAGGGGTGCATATTTTGGTTTTTGCTGTAGCGCTACACAGATGATTCAAATAATCAAAGCTTGATGATGAGTTCATTATTTGAATCAGCTGTGTAGTGCTAGGGCAAAAAACAAAACATGCACCCCTTGAGTTCCCCAGGGCAGAGTTTGGGAAACGCTATTCTAAGGAGATGTACATAAGGTTTACATGCCAGATTTCATGGCCCCATGTCCATCGGGTCAGTTCTTATAGCCCTGGTGTGATACGGTGCCATCTAGCGGCGAAGCGTGGCAGAATTTGAATGCAGCATCTAATCATTCTCAAATAAATTAGAGGCTAATTCTATAGTCTATATACCAAATCTGGAGTCAATCTGATTTGTGGTTAATGAAAATATTTGTAAGTATTTTTAGCATTTGGATATTTGACCATAAGGGGAAAGCCCTAATACATAGGCTACTCAGTATAGGTGGACCAGGCAGGAGTCAAACCCACAAGTCTAGTGTCGCAACAAGATAAAGGCTCTAACCAACTGAACCTCCGTGGGCTGCTGTGCTGTGCTGTGCTGTATGCTATACTGTTGAGTTCAGCCTTGCCTACCTTGTCGGAGCAGCTGGGCGCGATGGGCAAGGGGCAGGGTGGTCAGCAGGAACGTATGGAGCCTCACAGACAGCAGGAACTTCAGACCGCACTCATCCAATGTCTCTCCACCTAGTCAATGAAAATAACATGACCATCTACAGTACTTCTCCTCACAGGCTTTCTACCAGAGTAAAACAAATACACCATCTTAAGATATGGTTTATATTAGTTCATAAAACAAAATTTCTTAGGAGAAGGACTATGGAGGGCAGTTTGTGTAGGGTTAAGTGAGATGCCGAAACTTTGCTCTTGCTCTGGCTCTCCCTGATGTCGGCGCTGGTGGTGGCGATGGTGTCGGCCAGGGCCATGAGGGACATCTGCTCCATGCGGGTCAGGCCCGGCAGGCTGGAGTGGAGCAGGTGGCTGGATAGGACCTGAGCATGCTCGGGCCCAAAGAAGGTGGGGCTGTACTGGGACAGGTCTATGACCTTAGCACAGCCATCCTCCTGGTCGCTGTCCATGGGCTCCAAGTCCTCCACACCCAACCCGCTGCTCTGGAAGAGGTCATCGTAGGCGTCCGTCTGACTGGACCCGTGGCCACTGTCCCCACTCACGCTGGCCACCTTGTCTTTGGGCTTGGGAGAGCAGTCCTCGTCGGCCGCCAGCAGCGCGTACAGGGGCAGGGGAGGGATGGAGTCAATCTCTGTGTAGTCCGAACTCTCGCCCTTGCTGAAGGGCTTGGAGTCCCTGGTGGTGCTGCCGCCGGTAACTGTGTAACTGGTTCCGTTCAATAGAATTAGCCAACGCTTTGTGAGCCGATTACATTCCCATGGAGGAACAAACTGGACTGCCCCGTTATACAGGAGTGGAGGGCAGTGTGACTGTGGTTCAGTGCTCTTTCTTACCTGCTGAAGGCGTGACATTAATCACCTCCACACCGTCTGGAAGTGCCAGCTCCCAGCTGTACAGCCTGTGAGTGGTCAGGGTGAGACACTCTGCAGGTTGGATGTACAAGGCTTGTTCTTCTGAGCCGCGGGGGAACTGAACGTGTCAAAGTTAAAGGGGCAATTCAGAGGTGATGAGGTTACATTCGCCCTCTCAGGCGGAGCGCTGGTCTCGTCTGTAAGGACACACAAAAACAGATGAGTCAAGGAGAAAAACAAATTGGGAGCCAAGTTAAAGCTAGCTGGCTTGCACACAACGCTCAACACTTTCAGATAGAAATGAAGCCTTGACTGTAGTTGTTGGTACACACCCATAATGATTGGGAGAGCTGCCAGTTGCAGATGCCACATATGCAGGAGGGACCTGCCAGTCTGGGTAAACTCTACCACTACCAGGAAGAAGCGGGCAGAGAAGCCTGGCTGGCTGGAGGCTGCAGGAGAAAAACAAAACACACAATGACATGTTTATAACAACTGAATGAGATGGGACTCAAGAGCAAAGTAAAGGTTGTATTAGTGAGTGTGTTTCCTTATCCTACCAGTGTCTGTAGCGGGAGGTCCTGAGTGTTGTCTGTCCGATCACTGCCCAGAAGGAGATCCTCCTCAAATACATGTAGCAGCTGAGTCTCCTTCCCCTGTTGCAAACCACATAATTGGGTAGACTTTATTGTCCCCAAGGGAAAATTGGTGGCAGTTCCTCCTGATTTAAGGTGTACTGGTTAGGCTGCAGTATAAAACATCTATGGCATGGCTGACCTTTTTATTGAGATCAGTGAAGGCTGCTGTGAAGAAGACGGCTCATAATACTGGCTGGAATGGAGTTAATGGAATGTGTTTGATACCATTCCATTCACTCATTCTGTCCATTGAGCCATTAAACAATGTGTTAAAATAGAATTCAGTCAGGTATTGAATATCAAATCAAATCAAATTTTATTGGTCACATGCGCCGAATACAACAGGTGCAGACATTACAGTGAAATGCTTACTTACAGCCCTTAACCAACAGTGCATTTATTTTAAACAAAAAAAGTAAAAATAAAACAACAACAAAAAAAGTGTTGAGAAAAAAAAGAGCAGAAGTAAAATAAAGTGACAGTAGGGAGGCTATATATACAGGGGGGTACCGTTGCAGAGTCAATGTGCGGGGGCACCGGCTAGTTGAGGTAGTTGAGGTAATATGTACATGTGGGTAGAATATTCGAGTGCGCTCGCTATGACTAGCAAACCCCAACCATGGAGCTGAAAAAGGTCAGTGAAAATCTGCATGTCGTGCAGATTCGTCTTCCAAAGATGTATATTTACGAAGTCAGTGATGGCATCCAGCTCAATTATACAGCCTGGTTTAGCGGTTGATTGCAGGCTGATGATGTTAAAAAATTTGCCGACATATTTCTAAAAAATATATATTTAATTTTTAATTTTTTTAACAGTTAATCATTGGTAGATACCAAGATTAGTGAGAGTAAAAATATAACATTTATCTGAGATAAAACAAAAATCTTGTGATTGTACTGGTTGTCGAATTACTGATATCTCAGGGTTGGAGAGCTCACTGTTTCTTGGCTTCAATAACCGCCTGGTAGAGCCTCAGTGAGTGACCATCACTGGCCACGAAGCAGGCACTGGGTGAGTTGCAGTAGACACCTGCAGTGGAGAAAAACAATTAAATCTGCTGACAGTAATTGTATCTACAGAGTTTTCAAAGGTCAATCCACTGACTGTCTCCTTCCTTACCAAGGCAGTTGCTGGGGATGAGTGTGGGCAGCCAGGCTACGTTGGAGAAGGCGGAGGAGTGGAGAGAATTGATCCTGGCTAGCTCAGATACCCCTCCAGAGAAGGACAGCGGATCCACCGGGTCCAACCTCCACAGGATGAGCTCGCTGTTAATGGCATTGGGGTCCTGCGACAACGGCGCCCAGGGACACCTGGCTTGGCCTGACCCTGAGGGGCTGGGAGAGTGCGGCCAGGACACTGTCCACGTCGGGGGTGCGCAGGGCGTTGAGGTGGAAGCGGTGGCCGCAGTAGCGCGACTTGTGGGACACGCTAAGAACGGTGGAGAACGCCGACTCCCACTGGTTCAGGGAGCCGTCCGCGTTCGTGGAGATCATCAGCACTTTGGGGGTGAAGATGCTGAGGCGCAGGCTGTTGGAGGAGGCTGCCTTTGCTCTGGCCGTAGGTGATCAGCACCGAGGAGGGGTGGGGCAGGCCGGCGGGCCGCCATGTTGGATGGCCAGGTCCACGTTCTTGTTGCAGGCGTACATGACCACGCTGCGGCTCAGAGAGTTGGCGTCGCCCGTGGGGAAGACCACAGGGATCCGAGACACAAAGGACACCATAGTTTTATGTTATTATAATGCAAAACAGAAGAAACAAAAATGATGGGTCAATCAGTCACAGAGCACAATAAGTCACACCACATATACTATATCTAATGTATCTTCTATTATGATGGAGAATGTTTGCTGATGCAAATACAATATACATTTTTGAAAAATGAAACCATGAACTGCGTAGGTCAAAGACGAAGTGCATCTTTCTATTGTAAATGTAAAACAGAAATGTCAATCAGGTTGCTTCCCTGATGAAGGTAACGTACCTGGACCTGGCGGAACATGCCGGGGTGATACTCATCCAGCCAGTCAACGTGCCACACCAGCAGAGAGCCGTCCATGGGGTGTATACTGAACAGCGTGTCTGCCCCTCTGTTCAAGTCCTCCAGTAGCACCTCCAACTGGTGCTCCACCGCTGCAGCGGGCAGCTGGATGGACGCCACGTCAGGTCCTCATTCTGCCGCTCGCCTAGCAGCCTCCTACTCATAGTCAGGCTGTGGGAGACAGACATACACACAGGAGAAAGCTCACACCCTAGTCCTCATATCCACACCACTAAAGGGTAAATACGTGATAAGCTCTCAAATGATAGATTATTCATCAGTCTTTTGCTTTCGTTTCGGTAATTATCAAACTGCTCTGGAATTCTAAAACAGTTTAGTAAGAATAGAGTTATGGATAACTTTCTGTCATTGTCAAACAATTTATCAAAAGAGGCATTTGGAAAATTGCACTTTAATTTCAAGATTAAAAGTTTATCATATTGCCTAATGCCTTTTTGAACGACGTGTTGCGCAATCTGGTAATGTGTGAAAATGCAGTAATTTAGAGCGCTGGGTGTATTCCCTAGGAACCAAGCGGAAGCAAACAGCCAAAAACAGGGAGGGACTAACCTGAACTTTTCCAATAATAAAATGCTAAATTCTATTATAAAACGTTTCCATTGCAAAACTTTTTGCTACGGTGTGCACTAATGAATACACCGCTGCTCTCTACCTACCCTCCTGGGAGTTTGAGTTGTGCTACTCCAGGAACACCTCCATGGCCAGGGTAAGGTGCAGCTCCTTGTTGTTGAGCCAGTGCACGGTGAAGGGCCCGCCAGGCTCCTCGTCATCCCCCCCACACAGCGACGTGATCGAGGGCAGCAGAGGGATATCTGCACCAGACAACACACCCATATCATCACTAACTCTGTACAGTAATGTGTGTGTGTAGGGCCCAGTGTTATTCCTGTTCAGGTTACATTGCCAGGAAACACTTACATTTTAGTCATTTGAGGGCCTAAATATGTGCAATGATGACTGATCCGTCAGATGTGCTTATAAGACCAAATCTAATCTTATTCTTATGCAATCATGAAGTACAGTAGAGTTTGTGAGAGGCTGTTAAAGAGAAGTTTTATCCTAGAATGAACTGTTACGCAATGCAAACATCCTTGAACAATGCTACTGAACTCCTTTATTAATGGTGACAGCGGCTGTTGGTTTGTGTCTCGAGTACCTGTGGCAGGGTTGATGCTGGCAGCGATATGGAAGTGGCAGAGAGTGTTGGCATGGGGCACGCTGTTGGTCTTGTGGTTGTAGTGTGTGCTCTGCTGGTACGGGAGACGGCCGGTCAGGGAGGGCTGGGCCACACCTCTCAACGGGGCTCTCCACGACTCCTGCAGGTTCGACTGAGGAAAGAGACAAAATTGCTCCTAAGTAGGGCTCCCTCTCTCTGGCTTTGGAAAGCCAGACTGGAACTAAAATAGTAGCTCTAATATCGCAGTCAGTGTTTTTAATGAATAATTCTGCAAATGTCAGCAGACTTTCATCACATTTAAATTTGCATATCTATTTTTCCCACAATGTAATTTGTCTCTTGCTTAATCGTTTCTGGCGAGACGCATAACCATGGAATGACAATCTTCAAGTTTTGTACACTAGAAGTAATGAGGAAAGTGCATCTGATCTTTACAACTAGTTACTAGAGCACTTCAACAAAGGCCAAAATACATTAAGCAAAAAGAGCAGTGGTACAGTAATTCAAGGGTGTACTATACAGAAAAAAGGCCAATTGTCTTAATGAAGTTCTCAAGGGCTGCAAAGCCTGGAAAACAATCTTCCAATTAATTCTGCCCTTTAGCTCTAAGTCTGCTGCTCTCTCATCTTCTCACCAGCCTGATGCACTATGAAGCGGCGCTGGAGACACTGTTCCTACCTCCAAGGGGTTTCTGCCCTGCGTTTTGATACGAGAGGGAGTCTTCTTGCTGCCGCCTGTCAATTTGAACGAGTCGCTGTTCTGGCCGTTCTTAACTTGACTGAGCGTGTGTATGGACAGCAGGGTGTCACTGGGAAGCAGGGTCTCGGCCCACAGGCGACACACACTGTCCTTACCACAGGTCAGTAGCACATTACACACAGAACCCCTGGAGGGAAGAGAAACACAGAGGATAGAGCTTTGTCAGATCAGGTAAGGACAATATCAGTGCTTCTAAAACCTTTAACGATGGGCCTTACCGTGGCATGTACTTGCTGGTCTTCCTCCAGGGGCGGCAGGTAGCTTAGTGGTTAAGAGAGTTGTGCCAGTAACTGAAAGGTCGCTGGTTCTAATCCCCGAGCCGACTAGGTGAAAAATCTGTCAATGTGCCCTTGAGCAAGGCACTTATCCAGAGCGACTTACAGGAGCAATTAGGGTTAAGAGTGTCTGCTAAATGACTAAAAATATATATATATAAAAAAGCCTGTTACAGAGCGTGGGTGAGCCAGGTAGACAAACGAGAAGTCCAGAGCTGTGCTCCGGTAGGGTAAACAGCTTGGTCACGCCAGCCTGCCATTTACTGGTGCTGTACCACACTTTGACCAGACAGGCGTCCTGAAAACCACAGCATCACTGGGATTTAGTACACATTTACTACAAAGGCTCATGGCTATTTGAGTGTGCACTTCTTAGTGTGTCGTGTGTTTCTTTGTAATTTACTTTAAAATGAACATCTTTATGACACCAAACGCCACCCACCTGTCTGGTAGTAGCAAAGAATTCTCCACCTGGAGAGAACTCCATGAACTGAATTGGGGAGGCGGTTCTATGAAAGAAGATGAGGGGGAAAAAACAATACAATGGTGAAAAAAAGTATTTAGTCAGCCACCAATTGTGCAAGTTCTCCCACTTAAAAAGATGAGAGAGGCCTGTAATTTTCATCATAGGTACACATCAACTATGACAGACAAATTGAGAAAAAAAATCCTGAAAATCACATTGTAGGATTTTTTATGAATTTATTTGCAAATTATGGTGGAAAATAAGTATTTGGTCACCTACAAACAAGCAAGATTTCTGGCTCTCACAGACCTGTAACTTCTTCTTTAAGAGGCTCCTCTGTCCTCCAGTCGTTACCTGTATTAATGGCACCTGTTTGAACTTGTTATCAGTATAAAAGACACCTGTCCACAACCTCAAACAGTCACACTCCAAACTCCACTATGGCCAAGACCAAAGAGCTGTCAAAGGACACCAGAAACTAAATTGTAGACCTGCACCAGGCTGGGAAGACTGAATCTGCAATAGGTAAGCAGCTTGGTTTGAAGAAATCAACTGTGGGAGCAATTATTAGGAAATGGAAGACATACAAGACCACTGATAATCTCCCTCGATCTGGGGCTCCACGCAAGATCTCACCCCGTGGGGTCAAAATGATCACAAGAACGGTGAGCAAAAATCCCAGAACCACACGGGAGGACCTAGTGAATGACCTGCAGAGAGCTGGGACCAAAGTAACAAAGCCTACCATCAGTAACACACTACGCCACCAGGGACTCAAATCCTGAAGTGCCAGACGTGTCCCCCTGCTTAAGCCAGTACATGTCCAGGCCCGTCTGAAGTTTGCTAGAGTGCATTTGGATGATCCAGAAGAGGATTGGGAGAATGTCATATGGTCAGATGAAACCAAAAAATATTTTCTTTGATAAAAATTCAACTCATTGTGTTTGGAGGACAAAGAATGCTGAGTTGCATCCAAAGAATACCATACCTACTGTGAAGCATGGGGGTGGAAACATCATGCTTTGGGGCTGTTTTTCTGCAAAGGGACCAGGATGACTGATCCGTGTAAAGGAAAGAATGAATGGGGCCATGTATCGTGAGATTTTGAGTGAAAACCTCCTTCCATCAGCAAGGGCATTGAAGATGAAACGTGGCTGGGTCTTTCAGCATGACAATGATCCCAAACACACCGCCCGGGCAACGAAGGAGTGGCTTCGTAAGAAGCATTTCAAGGTCCTGGAGTGGCCTAGCCAGTCTCCAGATCTCAACCCCATAGAAAATCTTTGGATGGAGTTGAAAGTATGTGTTGCCCAGCGACAGCCCCAAAACATCACTGCTCTAGAGGAGATCTGCATGGAGGAATGGGCCAAAATACCAGCAACAGTGTGTGAAAACCTTGTGAAGACTTACAGAAAACGTTTGACCTGTGTCATTGCCAACCAAGGGTATATAACAAAGTATTGAGAAACTTTTGTTATTGACCAAATACTTATTTTCCACCATAATTTGCAAATAAATTCATAAAAAATCCTACAATGTGATTTTCAGGATTTATTTCCCTCATTTTGTCTGTCATAGTTGACGTGTACCTATGATGAAAATTACAGGCCTCTCTCATCTTTTTAAGTGGGAGAACTTGCACAATTGGTGGCTGACTAAATACTTTTTTTCCCCACTGTATATCAGTCATCCTTGAAAATGTTTTTGGGAATAAAAAAATTATAGCAGGCAACATTAGGACTATTTCATAGTGCAGTTCCTACTTGCAGTGCCAGATACACCTCCAGGGACACTGAGGATCACCAATGGTCATTTCTGCAAGTTCTCCTTCCTCATCCAAATCATTGCTGATATTAGACCACAGCTGGAGGCTGGTGGACACAGTTAGGAGATGACTGTCTGTGTGCATCAACAAAAACAAACAGACAATGAAATAAAAACATATTTGAAAAACACAGGTCGTTCTAATTCGAAAAGATACAAAATAAACATAGCAAAAATTGTTTTACCTGTGGGGTCCCAGGCCAGGTTGCGCGCTATGGACTGCAAAACAAACTGTCCACTCTTCTGCCACTGGTAGCTCCGTTTCTATAGGTGCACAAGCATTCAAACAATCAAATCCAAATGTCAATTTCAACTCATTAGGAACAATAGATGTATAATTTCCTTGCATATATAGTATTACGAACTAATAATGCAGTGCAGTCATTAAGAATCAATTACTTCTTTAGAATCAATACAATTAGCACTTACTGCTGATGCCCGGTCCTTCTGGTTCATGAGCTGAACCGGTTCAAAGACACAGACTATGCTTCCATAGGAAGCTGCAATCTGTCAGCAACAACGAAGAGAGGGGACATTTTAATCAACGTGAACACCGTTTCACTCTGATTATAACAAGTACCATGCACATACTTGGGACTTTTGAGAGAAATGTGAGTTGCAGACCAATGTGGAGAGTGAAGATAATCAAATACATTAGTACTGAAATATGTATCAAAGAAATGAGTACATAAGATAGCCCAATTGTTGTTAAGGCATCCTCACAGATTGTCATTAGCCACATGTTCAGGGAACCGAACAGAATGAAATCCTACTCAAGGAACAAATATCCAAGATCCGAAAAATGTATTGGGACCTTAGAAATGGTATGTCATTTTACTTTAAGCATTTTACCACATGCTAAATGTTTTATGTTTACTTAGCATAATTTGAAATCTACACTGGACCAAATAAAATAGCGGCCCTTATGTGCACCAACAGTAATACCGTCTACCCCGGTATGCTACAGGAAAGGTATGGAAAATCTGGATACCGCCCAACCCTAGTTTCAGGCAATATGGCATTACAGTAAAAACAAAAGCCTGCTTTTTGTGAGTTACTGTGCTATACTTTGTTCCATCTCGTTAAAATGTACCGGAATTTGGAGGACCATTCAGCGTTTGTAATTGCTTCATAATGCACATATTTTGCTGCTTAGCTACAATATAGCCTAGCAAATATCTGGTCAATATTGCTATAAGCTTAGTTACAATATAGCCTAAAGTAAATAGGCCTATCAGGGGTGTCAAACTCATTCCATGGAGGGCCTAGTGTCTGCAGGTTTTTGTTTTTTCCTTTCAATGAAGCCCTAGACAACCAGATGTGAGGAGTGCCTTCCTAATTAGTGACCTTAATTCATCAATCAAGTACAAGGAAGGAGCAAAAACCCACAGACACTCAGTCCTCCGTAGAATGACTTTGACATCTGTTGCCTAGATGGGTCAATATTGATAGAAAGCAACGCCATGTAAACAATATGACATGGATGGATCCACAAGTAGGGTCATAGTAGCATGCAAACTCTACTGGTGCTTTACCAAACAGCATTAGCATAAGTTGCTGATAAACTACACCAGACACATAATGTAAGCGTAGCACGTGCCCGTGAAACAGGGCCACTGATCAATGAGACATGTTCAAATCAAATCACATTTTTATTTGTCACATATTCGTGTTTAGCAGATGTTATAGCGGGTGTAGCGAAATGCTTGTGCTTCTAGCTCCGACAGTGCAGTAATATCTATCAATTTCACAACATATACCCAATACACACAAAACTAGTAAGGAATGGGATTTAAGAATATATACATATATGGACAAGCAATGACAGAGCGGACTAAGATACAGAAGAATATTATAGAATACAATGCAGTATATACATATGAGATGAGTAGTGCAAGATATGTAAACATTATTAAAGTGTTACACCTGGCACCACATGAGTAAAGCGCTCTCGCGCTGTTGATGCTGCCCGTTTGCTGCTTCTGGTGTAGCATGCCTTAAACAACGCTTATGGAATGCTTGCGCTATGCTTGTGGTGTAGGTTAGTTTCACAGTAAGTTGCAGTTAAAGCTGTGCTTGACCGAACAAAATATATGGGAGCAACAACAGGCAACCATGTCTCTTACCTAGCCTCCCTGTAGCGAGCAGTCCACACAGCCCACCTGGATGTTCCCATGCTTTGCCCCTGGGATGATTTGTAGCCTCTCAAAGTCACTGCCCAAAATCACAATGTCACAGCCAGAGGCATATGCCTATCACATGAGAGGGTGAGGTGGGGGAGGAATGTCACTCAGGATAATTCAATGTGAGTTTAACTTGTAGTATGACTTTGCATTGTTTGACACCGACGAACATACAGTATGATACCTATAGAATAAATCAAATCAAATTTTATTTGCCACATGTGCCGAATACAACAGACATTACCGTGAAATGCTTACTTACAGCCCTTAACCAACAATGCATTTATTTCTTGATAAAAAAGTTAAATAAAACAACAACAACAAAAAAGTGTTGAGAAAAAAAGAGCAGAAGTAAAATAAAATAACAGTTGGGAGGCTATATACAGGGCGGTACCGGTGCAGAGTCAATGTGCGGGGGCACCGGCTAGTTGAGATCACTGCACCTGTACACAGCCATTCTGAAATTAGCCCACCCAACTACCTCATCCCCATATTGTTATTTATTTTGCTAATTTGCACCCCAGTATCTCTATTTGCACATCAACTTTTGCACATCTATCATTCCTGTGTTAATATGAAATTGTAACTATTTTGCACTATGGCCTATTTATTGCCTTACCTCCATAGCTTTACTACATTCGCACACACTGTATATATATTTTCTGTTGTATTTTTTACTTTATGTTTTGTTTACCCCATATGTAACTATGTGTTGTTGTTTTTATCACACTGCTTTGCTTTATCTTGGCCAGGTCGCAGTTGTAAATGAGAACTTGTTCTCAACTGGCTTACCTGGTTAAATAAAAAGATGGGGTGGGGGTGCAAATAGTCCGGCTAGCCATGATTAGCTGTTCAGGAGTCTTATGGCTTGGGGGTAGAAGCTGTTGAGAAGCATCTTGGACCTAGACTTGGCGCTCCGGTACCGCTTGCCATGTGGTAGCAGAGAGAACAGTCTATGACTAGGGTGGCTGGAGTCTTTGACAATTTTGAGGGCCTTCCTCTTACACCGCCTGTTATAGAGGTCCTGGATGGCAGGAAGCTTGGCCCCAGTGATGTACTGGGCCGTACGCACTACCCTCTGTAGTGCCTTGCGGTCGGAGGCCGAGCAGTTGCCATACCAGGCGGTGATGCAACCAGTCAGGATGCGCTCGATGGTGCAGCTGTATAACTTTTCGAGGATCTGAGGACCCATGCCAAATCTTTTCAGTACCTGAGGGGGAATAGGCTTTGTCGTGCCCTCTTCACGACTGTGTTGGTGTGTTTGGACCATGATAGTTTGTTGGTGATGTGGACACCAAGGAACTTGAAGCTCTCAACCTGTTCCACTACAGCCCTGTCGATGAGAATGGGGGCGTGCTCAGTCCTCTTTTTTTTCCTGTAGTCCACAATCATCTCCTTTGTCTTGGTCACGTTGAGGGAGAGGTTGTTATCCTGGCACCACACAGCCAGGTCTCTGACCTCCTCCCTATAGGCTGTCTCATCGTTGTCGACACTGTTGTGTCGTTGGCAAACTTAATGATGGTGTTGGAGTCATGCCTGGCCATGCAGTCATGGGTGAACAGGGAGTACAGGAGGGGACTGAGCACGCACCCCTGAGGGGCCCCTGTGTTGAGGATCAGCGTGGCAGATGTGTTGTTACCTACACTTATATACTAATACATACTAATTCAATGAATACACATACTGACAAAACGCAGACCATCACACATAAGCAGTACAATGTACCCGTTGGCACACAGTAGAGGACAAAGAAACAAAAATAGTCCGATATTGATCCTCTCAGTGAAATACTTTTGGTATAGTATCAGATTCTCTTCTCCGAGCAGTGCCCAACGTCAGTGATACTGCTGGACTAGCACAGAGCACTCTTAACCAAAGCAATAAGTGTTCTTCATTACTTATGCCATGCTTAAACTGTAGGAAGAATGACGACTGTTCCTTGAAATATCTTACCGTGAATGGTTGATTGTTTATGCTCCCTACAGAAAAACAATTATCCCCTGGGTTGACAGACCCAGTAAGGACTTGGTGAAGATTCATAGTCCTTTGTAACCCTGTCTTCCTGCCCTCACAATGTGGCCTTGATCCAGGTCAGATTAATGAGAAACCAATGTAATGACGTGGTCATTGTGCTTCCCGGGCAGTCATAAAGTAAGTTCTCCTGTGAGAAAGAGAAACACATCAGTTGTAAGTTAGTTGGGCTACAGACAGCTAAATCACTAGCTAGGTAACTGATGTCCACCAATATAATATCAGCAAGACAATATTCAGTGACAAACGTTATCAGTAGCTACATGTCAGTGGGACAACTGGGTTGACAACTTGGTACAGTAGCTACAACACTTACATTTGAGTCATTTAGCAGACACTCTTCTAGATTAAGCAAGTCGTCCACTTTAGGTGTGCAATGCACTACTTAGCTAACTAGATCACAAAGTTGGAAATAGACAGTCATTTAGTTTAGGGTATAGTTGGGTGTCCTTTTTCTATGCATTGGACCTAGGGTAGCAAAGCCAGTGACATTTGTCTGAAAGGAAAATGACTAGCTAGCTAGGTATAGCTGGGCGGTAGGTAGCTTAGTGGTTAAGAGCGTTGTGCCAGTAACCGAAAGGTCGCTGGTTCTAATCCCCGAGCCGATTGGGGGGGGGAATCTGTCGATGTGCCCTTGAGCAAGGCACTTAACCATAATTGCTCATGTAAGTCGCTCTGGATAAGAGCGTCTGCTAAATGACTAAAATGTAAAAAATGTATAGCAATGTAGTTTACAGCTAGCTAAATGGAACTGGCCCACACAGCCTGCTGTAGCTAAAGATGAACGGTACAGCTAATGTAATGACAATGTTGAGATATTAGCCCACAAGTTGCGTTAGATACATATCACCATTCCTACATGGAAAACAAACCGGCATAGCAATCTGGAAAGAGGTGATTAAGTTCCGTGTGCCAACTCACGTGTTTTCACATAGCTTGTTGTGTCAAAATGCACTTACTTCTCGTCGTTTGTCATGGCATGCATGCATTGCCACCTCGCGACCTGCTAGCACAAGCAGTCTGTAATTCAGTCACGTTGGTACCTAGCTAGTCTTCTTGCAAAATGTCAAATAACGGGACAATTTCAAGTAATATGCTGCACACGTTAAACCATTTAGCTAACTGTGATAAAATATTATAGCCATCAGTAGTTGTACTCCTCTACCGTGTGTTGATGAAACCGTGCTTTGCATTGTGGTCATTGTAGTAGTTGATGGCTCAAGGATGCTGTTTGCAGAATGGTCTGCCCCGCCCCTCTATGGATGGAGGATGCCCTTTACATAGGAGAGGCTATACGGCACGCCAGGGGCCTCATTTATAACCGTTGCATAAATGGCACAGTACATTTCTGCGTGCGCCATTTCTGACATGTCTGCTCATGTACAAAAATATTGAGATTTATAAACTTGGCGCACGCCATACAACGCATGTTTGTGCGCGCGTGAACGAGCATTAAAACTCCGCCTGGAAAACGCCCTCCATTCACCTTCCATGGTGACAATAACGCCCTTTATTTGCAGTATAATTTTGAACTATTGGCATTAGACCAAGGCATGCAAAATACTAATTGTTGTTCAATATTTACTTTATCAATAGATTATTGGTTTCATATGTCCTGCCTTGATATAGGCTCTGAGATAAATGGCAATGATGTCGCGATCCTATCGCACAGCAATACTATAGCCTATCCATACTGTAAAATATTTTACAAAAGCTACCGGTCTATTTACTGTGTCGGCAGAATGTTTTAATTTTTAGCAGTAATTTATGCTGTATCTGGAAAAGGACTGTGTCAGTTTCTGAAAGAGAAAACAGTGGCAAATTGTCATGGACCTGTCAGCAGAACGTTTGAATTCAATTATGTTTTGCATCGAATTTTCCCCAAACCTAAATATGATGGACTGTCCGCGAATTCTGAAACATTGTAGGGCAGGCTACAATTATTTTTTATTTTTTTACAGTACTTACAATAGCATACATAGGTCTACTTCAATGTAAAAGATCAGCTGTTAAATTGACTGTAAACCGGTATTATAAACCGCACTGCCTATGATATTGCAAGACTTGAAATTCATATAGGCCTAGCCTATCTATTTACTAGGCTACTAGGTCCAATTAAATGAGAGATGCGAATGGTAATTTGTTGTGGAATATGGCTTCTTCGGGAATATGAACCCATCATGGCCAGAAAAGGTGAGGAATATATTCTGCAATGGTTATGAAAATAAAACAAATAGGAAAAAGATTAATACGTCTAATTATGAGATTCCTATGTCTAATTATTTTAGATTCTACAAATAAAACAGATTTTCGCCCTTCTCACTAAATGGCTGCATTCTTGTAAATATTTTTTCCTGTGTTTTGTTTTTATGAATAAGGTTTTCATCATATCCCCCATTTGCACAAAATAAAAATACTTGCTAGCTTGCAATACAATATTTCAACCGCTAGCACATGTGTGTATGCAAAAAAATTAAATAATAATAAATACAAAATAAGATGTGTGTATGCAGGGTTTGCGGGGAGTTGAGCACATTCTCACGTAAAGTTCAATTATTATAAATGCCAACCTTTGCATGAAAACTGGCACATGCACATTTTGGGGTATATTTTGTAATTATGCATGGTTTATAAATTGTGTAACCATTGTGTAAATGTAACACTAAATATCTGCTTGTGCTATTCTGAAAAGACTGTACACGCACAAACATTTTGAGATGTATAAACCTGGCGCACGCCATACATAGGCATGTTTCCCATTATAAATCAGACCTGTCGTGAAACTGTGCACGTGTGAACAAGCATTTTAACTCCTCATGAAAAACGCCCATCATTCACCTTTTATGGTGACAAAAACGGCTTCATTTGCTGTATAATTCGGAAGTATTGAAATTTGGCCAAGACAGTATCTAAGGAAATTGCAATGCATGACGAACTTGATCAAATGTCTATGGAGGGGTTGGCAAAATGTTTTATTTTGCAGTGACATTTGCCCTATTTTAACGTGTCTGAAAGACAAAAACAATTGCACATTGTTGTGGACCTGTAAACAGATCGTTTGAATTCAATAATGTTTTGCATTTACTTTTTCCCGAACCTACAGTATATAGGCTATGCTGCACTGACCGCGACTTCTCTTTAAAAAAAAGTAAATCTACAGTAGTCCTACTTCCAGTAGTAGCCTACACACTTCAATGCAAAATATCAACTTTCTGTATGTTATTAACCGCGCTCCCTTTCAGATGCAAGAACTTGAAATAATCATATCGAATAGGCACAAGGAGAGATGTGCATGGTAATTTGGCCAGAAAAGTCGAGGAATTTATTCTGCAATGATCATGGAACTGAAATAAATAATAGGAAATATATGCCTATTTCTAATTATTTTAGAATGCAAAGTTGAAATATATCGATTTTCGCTCTTCTCATTACCAGCAAATGATTGCGTCTTGTTATTATATTTAGTTACCTGTTTTTTTGTTACCAATAAGAGTGTCATCATATATTCCTGCACAAGACTACTACACTGAACAAAAATATAAACTCAACATGCAACAAGTTCAAAGATTTTAAGGAGTTACAGGTCATATAAGGAAATCAGCCAATATCAGGAAATCAGTCAAATTCATTAGGCCCTAATCTATGGATTTCACATGACAGGGAATATATATATGCATCTGTTGGTCACAGGTAGCTTTTTTTTTAAAGGTAGGGGCGGTGTGGATCATGAAACCAGTCAGTATCTGGTGTGACCACCATTTGCCTCATGCAGCGTGACACATCTCCTTTGCATTGAGTTGATCAGTCTGTTGATTGTGGCCTGTGGAATGTTGTCTCACTCCCCTTCAATAGCTGTGCAAAGTTGCTGGATATTGGCGGGACCTGGAACACGCTGTCGTACATCCAGAGCATCCCAAACATGCTCAATGGGTGACATGTCTGGTGAGTATGCAGGCCATGAAAGAACTGGGACATTTTCAGCTTCCAGGAATTGTGTACAAATCCTTGCTACATGGGGCCATGTATTATCATGCTGAAACATGAGATGATGGCGGCGGATGAATGGCACGACAATGGGCCTCAGGGTCTCGTCACGGTATCTCTGTGCATTCAAATTGCCATCGATGAAATGCAATTGTGTTCATTGTCTGTAGCTTATGCCTGCCCATACCATAACCCCACTGCCACCATGAGGCACTCTGTTCACAACGTTGACATCAGCAAACCGCTCGCCCACATAACGCCATATACGCTGTCTGCCGTCTGCCCGGTACTGTATGAAACATGGGACCAACATGTTTTACTTTTGCCTTCTTCAATACTTCAACCACTAGAAACTGTGCGTATCCATGGTCTAAAGTTTGAGGGAGGATAAGCACATTCTCACTTCAACTTAGTTTTTATAAATTCAAACTTTTGCGTGTAAACTGGCGCACACATGTTTTGGGGCATATTTTGTGAGTATGCAGTTTATAAATGAGGTCCCTGGTGCCCAAATTGATGCCGTTTGTTGCGAAGCGTAGACTGGTCTCATAGACTAGTCGTAACATAGTAAATGTAAATCCGGGACACTCAAATTAGTATATGATACGTTTGGTATGGTTACATAAGACAGAAAATTACTTAAAGCAAAAATTAAAGGATCAGCAGGCGTATAATGCAAACGTCTATCAACCCAAAGGTTGCGTGTTTGATTAGCATTTTAGCTAATTAGAAACTTTGCAACTACTTACTACTTTTTAGCTAATTTGCAACTGCTAAGCATGTTAGCCAACTCTATACTTAATCATTTTAGCTAACCCTAAACTTAACCCTTTAACCTAACTCCTAACCCCCAACCAATAGCCAGCTAACGTTAGCCTTATTCAAGCCTGTCTCAAAATACAACACTCCTTTAAGACAAAAAAAAGCTCTTTACCTGACTCGCTTTTCAAAGATGCACACGTTTTGTGCTCTTGTAGGAAGCGAACACTCCCCCATTGCTGACTACAAATTATCTATAACTGGGC